GTTGTGGCTTATTGTGTCCAGGCCAGTCATCAAACATCCATCTTTTCTAATTTGATTTTCCAGCAGTTGACTTGGGCCTCCTATGCATTTCAATTGTTAATCTAAATAATTCTTAAACGTCTTGAGGATTCCCGCTACTACCACTCTATTAAGAGTGGTTCTTCCTGACGAAAGACATACATCTGTCCACCTCAAATCTCACCTATCGCTGATTTGTAAATCTTTAAAATTTAGGGATAATTATTTTAAACTTAGTGATAACGCAAAAGTAAAATATTGCAGAAACTGAAAACCTGAAATGAGAAAAATGCTGGAAATACTCAACAGAACAAGCAACATCCGTGAAGACGTAGAGTTTACCTTTCAGGTTTTAACTTCGTCTTCAGCCTAAAAAGGCTCTTAGTAAAACAATGATAAATTTATGCGCGACGATTAGTATTGTAGTTCTGACTGTACATTGAGCATGGAGCCTGTAAACTCGAAGGTGGGGCAGGGATGAAACTTCGCTTGTGATATCGCTATTATACTCACCTATTCGGGTCTGGGGAGTAGGACAATTTTAAATGCTCATGAAGCCACTTATTTCCCATAGTACACCATGGCAAAGACAATCCTCTATCTGCACTATGCGTCACTGTGCACTATGGGAACAGTGATTAGGAAGGGGATGGGAGAGGTGTGAGCGCGTGCAGTGTGAGTGACGCATGCGCTTTGCGCAAGCGCGCACGCGTGTTGTTAATAAACGCCAGGATCGATGATCGATTCTACTTGGCGCCATTTACAGCGCGAGAGAGAAGGAGAAAATTTGTTTTGAGTCTGCGGCGAAGTACCCAGGGGGGAAAACCTGAAGATCACAGTGCACTATTTCACGTGTGCCTCAGCAAATTTATTTTTCTATTCCGATTTTGCTTCAGGACAGATTTGGTTCCAGTTGAGCGATCAGGTTGTTCTTGTGTAGTTGTTGGTGGTAGGATCAACTTCTGAGGCCCGTTCACTTGGGCTGCTGCAAGGTTGGAACAAAATTATCTAAGCTTCACGTTATTTCTTGACTGGCCATATTAAACCAAAAAATCATTTGGAAGACGAGCAAGGGAGTTACTGCTGTTTGCTTCCTCTCATTTTCTTATCTCAGGCCAATATTTATGCCTCAGACAACATCCCAAAACAACAAAATCACCCTGTCCTGATAATATTGCTGTTTGTGCGTTCTTGTGTGTTTGGGTTATTGTGTTGCAACAGTTCTGAAATGTATTTGACGAAATCATGTGTTTTTAGAGGCTTTGATAGGTGCAATGTTAATGCAAGTTTTTCTTTTCTAACTGGCTATTTAAATCCACTTCGTGATTTACTAAAGATGAGGTTTGTGCCGTTTGATGCTACGTGTAATGCAAATCTGGCCACTTTTTGAAACCTTTACAAACATGCTGAAGAATACGTCGAACCCGCTTTCGTCAGCTGGTTTGATTTGATTTGATTTATTATTGTCACATGTACTTAGGTACAACGAAAAGTTTTGTTTTGCATGCTGTACAGACAGATCATAACATACAAAGATCTTGGGCGGTTGAACACAGCAAGGAATACAAAGTTATAGCTTTAAAGAAGGTGCACAGAAGCAAGATCGACATTAGATTTGAAATTTCAGAGGTCCATTCTGAAGTCTAATAAGAGTGGCGAAGAAGCTGTTCTTGAACGTGTTGGTACATGTGTTTAAGCTTTTGTGTCTTCTGCCTGACAGATGAGGTCAGAAAAGATTATAACCAGGGTGGGAGGGGTCTTTGATGTTGGCTGCCATTCCGAGGCAGTGAGAATTATAGATGGAAGGTTGGCTTGCACAATGAACTGGGCTGTGTTCACAACTCTTTGTAGTTTCTTATGATCCTGGGCAGAGCAGTTGCTGTATCAAGCTGTGATGTGTCCAGGTAAAATGTTTTCTATGGTTTTCTATAAAAGTTGGTGCGAATCTTTATGGACAAGCCAAATTTCCTTAGCCGCCTGAGGAAGAAGAAGATTTGTTGTGCCTTCTTGTTGGTTATTGTCACTCCTAGGAACTTGATGCTCAACTCCATTGATGTAGACAGGGGCATGCCCTCCTCCTTCCTAAAGTTGATGATCATCTTTTCAATTTTGCTGATGTTGAGGGAGAGATTGTTATCTTTACACCTCACCACTAAGCACTTTATCTCTTTCCTGCATTCTGTCTCGAAATTGTTTGATATCCAGCCTAGAACGGTGGTGTTGTCAGCAAACTTGCTGATGGAGTTTGGATGAAATTTGGTGACGCAGTCATAAGTGTACAGGGAGTACAGTAAGGGACTGAGTACATCTCCACGTGCAGTGCCGATGTTGAGGATTGTCGTGGAAGAGGTGCTGTTGCCTATCTTCACTGATTGTGGCCTGTGGGTCAGGAAGTCAAGGATCCAGTTGCAGAGGGTGAAGCAATGACCTAGGTCTTGAAGTTTGGAGATTAATTTAATTTAGTTGGAATTATAGTGTTGAAGGCAGAGCTGTAGAAACCTGACATGGGTATCCTTATTATCCAGATGTTGCAGGGATGAGCGTGGCGTCAAGGAGATATTGTCTGGCATGGACCTCTTGCACATTATGACTGTAAATACTTGAAGACCACCCCGACTCAACTTCGTAAACAATTAAATTTCTAACTTTTAGGAGATAACTGGGTTCAGTATTTGTATTATGGCATGAGTGAGTGATCCTGAACAAAAGTCATAAATGTTCCAGCAAAATGCAGCCTACCAATGTAAGGGGTTTTGCCTATCCGGAAGTGCACTATACCAGCTTTCAGCTAGTGTCATAGGTTGTGTAAATAACAAGTTGGGAAGAGCAGGTATTTATTTGGACTGTTGCTGGGTATGAGTGGAGCCGAATCTCGGAGTCAACATCCAGCCAGATTAATTAGGCCTTGATCTGTCATGGAGCTGATGTTGTACTTTTGATGAACTTGACAGATGTTCAACTGCACAGACACTGTTGAGACCTTTTTCCTTCATATGGCACAATGCTTGGGAATCTGGAAAGGGGTGTATGTTACAGATATTATAACTGTACAATATAAATATGTCTCTGGATGGAAGTGATGATCAATGTGGATTTAACCAGTCCAGCTAAAGGAACTTATTTTCATGTAGGCTGGGAATTACAAGCAAAAATCTGATGAAAAATTATATAATTTCAAGCATCATGATCAAACATTTGCCTTAGAGTTGGGTTTATTTTCCTGCAGTAGCTGCCTGTGTTATTATAAAATAAATAGTACATTTAATAAAATCCATGTTATTTAGCAGAGCTGTCAATGTTGGGACTGATATTTGATGGGAAATGTGAGACCAGTCACATTTTTTTTTTTGTCTGATTCCCGGTTTTGAATAAGCCTAATATCTTTCGGTAGGATGAAGCTATTGTTTATAACTTGCGGTAGAGGTGCTGATTCTTTCAAATCTTCTGGTCACTCTTAGACACCAAACTGGTCTGAAAATCCTCTTCAACCTCAAGCTAAGTTTCTGTCCCTGTATCCTCTCTGATTAGCCTGCTCATTTCCTCCTCTGTAACATTGTTTGACTTTCCACTAGTCCATGTGCTGCTGAAACATTTACCTAAAGTTTTTTCACCTCCAGACTTCACTACACCCGCACTCTAATGGCTGCTGTCCAGCTTCTCTGCACAAACTTCATCTCATCCAAAACGCTGCTTTTTCCCACCCTGCACCAAGTTCTGTTTGCTTAAACCTAAAATTTAAAACTGACGTGTTTATCTTTAAATTCTTCCATGATTTTTCACCTTGCTTACATTGTTAACTGCTTCTAGCTCTAGTTTCTCATTTTGTTTTTACTTTCTCTTTGCCTCTGTTCTTCCATTTCCTCACTTCAGTTCCCCCCTTATTGTTCACCTCTCCATTTCCCGACTTTAGATTCCTCCTTATTGTCCACCTCTTCTGCCAAGATCCCTCTAACTTCATTCCTGTTTCCATTTTTGACTTCTTCATTCCTCTGAAGCTCATTTTCTGAAGAAGGGTCCCGACTCAAAACATCAACTTTCCAGCTCCTCTCATGCTGCCTGGCCTGCTGTGTTCCTCCAGCTCCACACTTCATGATCTCTGAAGCTCATTGGATCTTTTGTATATTAACATGAGCCCATATCACATTAACAATTTTAATAATATTTCTACAGTTCTACAGTTGTTTTGCATGGACAGGTCACATTCGGTACCTGAAAAGATGAAGGAAAATTTTCAGTCTTTGTTCTTCATTAGTCTTCCTGACCTTCGGAAATTGTGTGGCGTAACAGTCAAATTGAACTGTCATGATGTTGATGCAAGAAATTTACAGTTTTTAACTTGCAGGTAATATAAACCACTCATTAGAAAAAAAAAAGTAAAGTTTATCCTTCTATCACTACTTAATGCTCCAGTCATATAGATATCTATTTTTGTGTTAAATATAGGCTGAAATTCATGTGGAATAGATTTAGGTGCACATGGATATTAAAGTCAGAGAAGGGTAAGATGGATCACCCACTCAACAATTCTGGCGTAAAGTGGTTATAAATGCTTCATATCTTTGTCTTTTGCACTGATGTGCTAGGCATTATCACTGAGGATATGAATATTTGTGAAGCCTCCTCTTGTTAGTTCTTTAATTGTCCACTATCATTCATAACAGGACTGCAGAACTTCAATCTGATTCATTGGCTGTGGGCTTGCTTAGTACTATCTGTTGCATGTTGCTTCTGTTCCTTGGCTTGCACATAGTCCTCTATGTCTTTATCAAGGGTTCACCTCTTTGTGTGCCTGTGTTGCTCCTTGCATGCTGTTCGTCACTTCTCATTGAACTCCTGGTAATGGTAGTGTAAGGGATATGCTGGGCCACAAGGCTACAGACTGTTTAAATACACTTCTGCTGTTGTTGCTGTTCCACAGCAGCTCACGGATGCTGACATTTGAGCTGTTAAATCTGTCCCTCATCTACCACAGTTAGCAGGGTGTTAATGACGAACACATGGCTAGTATCTCCGTTGTGAAGACAGGACTTTATGTACACTAGTAACTCAACCAGTACTGTCATGGACAGACGTATCTGCAGCAGCTCAATTGGTGATAACAAGACTTTGTTGCTGGCCAGTCTAGCAGATTGTCCTTCAGGGCTTAATTAGTAGTGATACACTGTGGGTGGCGGACATTGAAGTCAGCGTATGTTCTGTGTCCTTGCTACCTTCACTGTGCCCTCCAATTTGTATTCATTTATTGTTGATATGTTTGTAGATGACAGGCAGTGTTGAGCAGGCAAGGATGCTGCAAAAGAACTTGTACAAGCTAGCAGTGTGGGCAAAGAAGTGGCAGATGGACTACATGTGGGAAAGTGTGAGGTTATACACTTTGGTAGGAAGAATAGAAGTGTAGACTATTTTATGAATTGGGAAAGGCTTCAGAAATCTGAAGCACAAAGGGACTTGGGAGTCCCAGCTCAAGATTCTCTTAAGATTAACGTCAGGTTCAGTTGGCAGTCGGGAAGGCAAAAGCAACGTTAGCATCATTTCGAGAGGGCTAGAATATAAGAGCAGAAATGTATTTCTGTGGCTGTATAAGGCTCAGGTCAGACTTCATTTGGTACATTGTAACAGTTTTGTATCACTGTATCTAAAGAAGGATGTGCCGGCATTGGAGGGGTCCAGAGGGGTGTTACAAGAATGCTCTCGAGAATGAAAGACTTGTCATATGAGGAGTTATAGAGGACGAGGGGGTATCTGATTGAAACTTATAGACTACTGAGACGCCTGGATAGAGTGGACGTGTAGAAGATGTTTCCACTAGTGAACAGACTTGAGTGCACAGCCTCAGAATGAAGGGTTGACCCTTTTGGACTGAGGTGAGGAATTTCTTCAGCTCGAGAATGGTGAAGCTGAAACACATTGTTGCAGAAGGCTGTGAAAGCAAAGTCATTGAGTGTATTTAAAACAGACAGGTTCTTGATTAGTAAGGAGATCAAAGGTTACAGGGAAAAAGCAGAATAGGGCTAAGAAATCTCGGCCATGATTGAATAATGGAGCAGACTTAATGAACTAAATGGATTAATTCTGTTCATGTATCTTATGGTCAGCATGGAGGAGTACTGATTCATCAGCTGAGATGGGGTGGATACAAAGTAATTAGCAGGAGGTTTCCTTGTCCATATGCCTTGAAATTTCATGGGTCAATGTTGAGAGCTCCCAGGGCTGCCAGCTCCTGACTGTGTACCCATTACAAGACATGCTCAGGGATGTTGTTGGTGTTGTCTGTGAGTTTGTCTAATGAATGATTCCATGACAATGACTTGCAGGCTATTGCTCGACTAGTCTGTGAAACCGCTGTCCAAATTTTGGCAGTCGACCCAGATGTTAGAAAGAAAGGCTTTGCCGGGTTGACAAGGCTGAGTTTGCTGTTGTTGTTTCCCAAACACAAGTCCATGCTGGTGATCCATCTGATTTCATTCATTTTTTTAAAGACTTTTTAGCTGGTAGGTACAACCAGCTAGCTAGGCCATTTTTGAGGGTCCCCTACATTGTTAAGAATATGGAGTCACATGTAGACCAGACCAGGCAAGAATGGCAGTTTTCCCTTCCTAGTGGACATTTGTGAACTAAGCATTATGACAAATAACGATGACTTTGTGATTTTTAAAAAAGAATTCTTTAGAAAAGAATTCAAATTCTGTCATCTTCCTTGATTAGATGAGAACTCAGACCCCAAAGCTTTACCTTTATTTTTGGTTTACTGTTCTACCAACAACTTCACCATACTATTTCTTCCCAATGTAATTTTGACTCAGGATTGTAGCCTAACGCTCCTCTCAAATGATCAAACAGCGCTTTTAGTTTTTTTTTGTTATTATTCTGATTCTGGGAGCCACACTAGTCTTACTCGCACATACCATCCTGATGCTAGCCCCTCCACTCCACCCCCCATTCTTGTTTACATTCACATCTCGTAAATTCTCTGTCAGATATAAACCGAAAGTTACTCTGGCAATAGATCACAAAAGTTTCATAAAAAGATTTGTCTCTACTGCTGTTAGAACAGATCAATATGGGCATTTTACATTTCCTGATTAGGCTGATGTTGGGAAAATGCATGTGTATTTAAAGTGTAAGAGCAATGTCTAGATTTTGTTTTAAAGATTTCCATGACTCCACACTGTTCCCCGTTTATGTTGCAATTTCATACAGTTTGTTTCAAGTTAATTACTTTGTGGATCACTATTATTGTTATTACCATACTTTGGATGTTTTATTAATTGAAAACTCTGGTAGTCTTTTGCAAAGAGGACACTGAAATGCAAGAATATCACTTGTTCACACTTAATTGGATAAAAAATATACATTCTTTTAACCTGCCCCCTTCTGTTAAATAGTGACAAGATGCCCAAAAAATTAAGTTCCTTTTCAACATCACAGGGAACTGCTATTTCAATATCCAGAAGTCCTTGCTGCCCCAGGAGAATATAAAGAAATTCTCATGATAATGTCAGTAAGTATAAATTTTAGTATATTATTGTTCATGAATTCTTAAGGATTGCATATGAGTATTTAATGCAACAGGCATGGTTTAAGCAGCTATGTAAGCATGATTAAAATGTACATGAAAGTTAACATCCCTGCACATATGTTCTTTTTCAAAGAACCACCCCTTTTGTATTTCTTGGTTGAACCTACCTCCACCTCTCACTCCATGTGTTCTATACCCTAGCCATTCACTGCATGGAAAATATTTTCTTCCATTTTTGCTGCTTTTACTAATTATTTGAAATCAGTGTCCTCTCGTTCTCAATCCTTTCGTGAGTTGGGAACGTTTTCTCCAATTTACTCTGTCCAGATTCATCATGATTTTGAATTTTTCAATCAGATTTCCTCTCTGCATTCACTTCTTCAAGGAAAACAGTATCATCTTTTATTATGTCTTCATAAATGAAATTCCTCATGCCTGGAACCATTATCATAAACCTCTTCTGCATTCTGTCTAGTGTCTACACCCTCCATAAAGTGCAATGCCCACGACTCCAACTAAGAACAAACTAGTATTTTCTATCAGTTCACCATACAGACCTTGTTCTTGTATTCCCTAGGTCACCATCCAACCTATTTATATAAGCCTGCAGCTGTCTATCTCCTCACAGCACCCCACCCATCCAACCTGACAGATGCAGCAACCATACAAGTTGTGGTTATATATTGTATCCCAGTTGAAGCCAGGGTACTACTGACCTTGGACGAATCCCCCATTCCCATCTGTGCTTTACCTACCTGCAAATACAATTACCTCATAAATTGAACTCATCCTATCCAAGGAGTATTGGGATCTTTCTATTATCTCCATTATTTTCATTTGATATAAATTATTTTGATGATAATATCTTTAGTAGTTCAGTTTATGCAGGTAAAGATGCTTTAACAATATCTTTTGATATCATATTCAGCGCCAAGCTCTCCTCCCATTTACTAATTTGCCATTAATCTGGTTCTGCAGTGCCTCTCTGCTCAATGTGATCAAGTCTGAGCTGATCACATTTCAGCCTTGGCTGCTGCTGGCAGGCTTCTTAATGCATATTTGACTTTATTTGCAGTCACTTGCAGGCAGAGTCCAATTTTAAACTACTTTTGATGTTTGGCATGGAACTTAAGTAAGTATAATAAAATAACTAGTACTTTTGTAAATTACTGAAAAAGCTGCATTTTAGAAAATATGCATGTGAAAAGTCTAACATAAGGCTAAAGACACAAATATGAAGCATGTTGAAAGGTGCTTAACTAACAGGTGCCTAGGCCAGGGAAGTTGAGAAAGGGAAACTCTAATTGATATTGAATATTTATTTGGCATCCATAACCTATGCTTTTCAAAGTGCACAGTTTCATGCAAGTTCTTATCATCAACATTGATATAGAAACAACATCTACCCAAAAGTTTGCTGAAAGATGGATTTATTTTTCAGATACTTTTTTATAAGACGGGAAACATTCAGGCATACGTTCAAAAACAGGGAGGAAAGGTAAATTGCTGAAGAGAACAGATGTTATTGGTGAAATGTAATCAGATTTTTAACAATATGGTATGTGTAGTTGTTAATTTACTGGTAGCGTTTGAGAAATTTTGGATGCATTGAGCATATTTATTCTCAAATTTTAGTGCACATGTTTTAAGTCCTTTAGTCTGTCAAAAGTTACACACGCTTTCCTGAAATGCTTTCTTAGTATGTTTCTCTCTTGTTGCCCTCTGTTACTCTCCTTTTTATTTGAGCTGAGCACTATAAATCAGTTTTCCCGTTTCTTTTTTTTTCTGTTCAGGACTTGATAATATTCCTCCTGATTATAATCAGGAATCTGAACACGAACACAAACCCAAGTCTGATTGTTCCACTAACTTCAAAAGGATCATAGCACAATTAAATCACAACTTCAGTGTAAAAATCTCCACAAATGTCCCATGATTTCACATTGAGGGAATTATTTTCAAGTAGAAAGGAATTTAAAATAAGCGTGAGATGTATAGTGTGGACAAGTATCAATATAGGTGAACATTGGAAAATTAAGACACTTTAATGTGTTCGACCTAGTTTTCTTATGACTATAGTACTTACCAGCCACATGGCACTTGCCTTTACCTATCAGTGTGCTGTATTCTCCAAGTGCATATTTGTTATATGAAAGTCTCAATGTTTATTAGGTTCATCAGTAGGTCTTAAGGTTTTGTTGCTTTGCATCTATTTTTACCAGTTGTGCATTACATGTCACATAGGAAAAGATTTGTATACACATACACCCTTGTAATGACAACAAGAAAAGTGCTGAGTAAAGTTAAGTTTACTTTGTATATGAAATAGGATAACTACTACAGAGATACTCTACCAGCTTTGTTCCTTATTAGTCATAATTAAGTTGAACTTAATTTCAGAAATGTAAATAAATAGATTTCAATTGTTTTATAACATCAAAATTGATAGTTATTGTTCTTTCAGAAGTCTTAAATACAATTTTCTTTCAAACTGACCTTAGTAAATAATTATATTTTTGCTATTCAATGTGTAAGATTTCAGTACTGGAGACCCAATGTTATTGATATGCATTGTCAAATCTGGCATAATGCTACTTAAATATATAGATCCCTTTTCCTTCACATGAAAACTCCACTGCACCATTGTAATATTTCACAGCAGTAATAATGTACTTGAAATCATTTCAGAAATCATTATTAACTCTGCTTTTATGCATTCTGTGTGTTTTTATGGACTCTCCCAAAATGATTTGGGTTGAAATTCATTTTAAGTTGAACAAATAGACCTCACAGAGTGAAGGCAGTTGCATTCATCATTGTAAGTTAGGTTTGAATCAAGTTCCAGCAATGAATGAGAGTACTCTTATTTCAAAACCACTTTTATAAGAACAACTTGAAGTGATGCACTATAAAATAATCTGAAATGGGATTGACTTGAAATAAAAATGTTCTTGGTCATTAAACCACCTGTTACATAAATTGAACTAACAATATTAAAATACAAGATGTAAATATTATGCTGTGGTTCAGCAACAGTATTTGGTGAATACCTTTGATTGATTGATTTTATTGTCACGTGTACCGAAATACAGTGAAAAGCTTTGTTTAGGAGTGGTACAGGCTGATCACAGCAAGCAAAGAATGTACAGATCAAAAAGACTTAGAGGCATACAAGTTACATTGTAAGTTACATTATTTGAGGTTAGAGTCCATTCAACAGTCTGATAATGGCCAGAAAGAAGCTGTTCCTGAACCTGCTTGTGCATGTGTTCAGGCTTCTGTAACTTCTGTCTGACAGAAGAGGTTGTAGGAGGTCATTACCAGGGTGCAATAAGTCTTTGATAATGTTGGCCGCCTTTCCATGGTAGCGAACCATGTAAGTAGAGTCCACGGATGGAAGGTTGGCTTCTGTGATGGTCTGCGCTGTGTACGCCACCTTCTGTAGTTTCTCACATTCTTGGGCAGAGCAGTTGCCATACCAGGCCGTTATGCACCCAGACAGTATGCTTTCAATGGTGCATCTGTAGAAGTCGGTGCGGGATCTTATGGACATGCCAAATTTCCTGAGCTGACTGAGGAAGAAGAGGTGTCTTCTTGTGCTAGTTGCTGTCATCTGGTGTAGTAATCATGGTGTTGTAGTTGACCGTAATTGAGCAAAATTAGTTAAGTGCTGAAGATTACATTTAATGTGAACAATAGGTTAAAATAGCAGTGAACTAGGCTGTAGAATACCCAGTGACCAGTTTACTGATAAGGAGGTGGCACAGTAGCTCAGTGGTTAGCACTGCTGCCTCACAGCATCAGGGACCCAGGTTCAATTCCAGCCTTGGGTGACTGTCTGTGTGGAGTTTGCACGTTCTCCGTGTCTGTGTAGGGCTTCCTCCCATAGTCCAAAGGTATGCAGCCTAGGTGGATTGGCTATTCTGCAATTATCCCTTGGTGTCCAGAGATGTGTAGGCTAGGTGGATCAGCCAGGGCAAATGTGGGGCTAAGGGATACTGCAGGGGGATGGAGCTGGGTGGGATGCTGTTCGGAGAGTTAGTGCAGTAAACATATCATTTGAAGTATGAAGATACCCAGTTGTTTTCTCTTCAGTTGCTACAGCTGTGACTTCTTATAAAAAAGTTAGAGACGTTCATAATTGTAGAGTCAGTCACCCTGTGCCTCCTGTTTTTAAAAAAAAGTTTCCGAAGAAAGAAGATGAAGTATCAATTTGATTAGCAGAGGTTTCATCTCAGCATAGCCTCCTTCTGCACTGTAGTGATTCTATGATACAGTCTCAAGGCTCCTATTTAATACTTTTCACATCTGGACTTTCTCCACTGGGTCTTTCCAGACATCTAATCTCAACCATCACTTGTTCTGTTCTGTCTAAAATTCACAGCACATAAATTGGCCTGTTCTAGAAATGTACCACTACCCAATCTTTACCAAAATAACTCCAGAGAGGCCGGTATCATGTCACAAGTTACCCTTTATTTACACATGGAGAGTCCTTGACACTGATCCAGCTCCCTTAGAGCCAGCACTCAGTGTACAGATGTCTGACACTCCTGTTCTTATCTATCAGCCAGGGTTCCCTGATTGTACCAGATTAACAGCCCCAACCAGGGAACTCATTTACGAGGTCCACCTGGCTGACCTCATTACAGTCACTACACTTAACCGCAATTGGCTTCCCATCTTGTTATGTCACACTGGAGTAGTGCGCTGGAGTGAAGCCCTGATAGTCCCCGAGTCATCACAAGTTAAAAGATTTTACAAAGTGCAAAGAATCCACAATTTACCTTTCTTTCAGACCCTGATTGACAGAAAGCATAGGCCAAGTTTCCATACTTGACAAGAATTGCTATTTATTACAGACAAATAGATTTTAATTATCACAGAATCCCTACAGTGTGGAAACAGGCCCTTTGGCCCAACAAGTCCACACCGATCCTCTAAGCATCCCACCCAGACCCATCTTCCTGTAACCCACCAAATCTACATATCACTGAACACTATGGACAATTCAGCATGGCCAATCTACCTAGCCTGCGTATCTTTGGACTGTGGGTTGAAACCGGAGCACCCAGAGGAAACCCATGCAAACACGGGGAGAATGTGCAAACTCCACACAGACAGTCACCTGTTGGTGGGATTGAACCCGGTCACTGGCGCTGTGAGGTAGCAGTGCTAACCACTGAGCCACCATGCCGCCCCTAAATTATGATGAATCAACACAAAATGCTACTTGTTAAAACTCTAACCCACTTATAGAACTCTTCCTCTACGTACACTGCAGACAGACATTTAAAAAAAAACGTGGATTTTATGAGCAGAGGTAAAGACTGGGAAGGTAGTTCAGTGGACTTTCTGTTTCCTCCAGGTTTGCCAAGATGAAACCTCTGCTAATCAGATTGATATTTCTTCATCTTCTTTCTTCAGAAACTTTCATTTGTTTACAGGAGGCACAGGGTGCCTGACTGTACAATAATGAAGGTCTCTAATGTTTTTTTAATAAAAAGTCACAGCTGTAGCAATTGATGAAGGGAAAGCAACTGGGTATCTTCAGACTTCAGATGATATGTTTACTGTAGAGCAAAAGCAGCTCCTTCCCTTCTGGAGGTCCAATGAATTCTCCCTAAATCATTTATAACAATAGAAGCACTGCAGGCCTGCAGCATCAGAGGAGCAGGAAAGTTGACGTTTAGGGTTGGGATCCTTCTTCAGAAATGGAGGAGGGGGAAGCGAGCTCCGAAATAAATAGAGAGAGGAGGTAGGTGTGATGGTGATAACTGAGTGCAGGTAGGCAGTGGTGGGGATTGGTCAGTGAGGTGGGAGAGAAGATGGACACGTTGTGTCAGGTCAAGGAGGCAGGGAGGAGAGGGAGGATTGGTCATGGGATGAGGCCGGGGCGGAGGGGGGGGAAGGGGGAGGTGGGGAGAGTTTGAAACTGGTAAAGTGCACATTGAGACCATTGGGTTGTAGGCTCCCAAGGCGGAATATGAGGTGCTGCTTCCCCCAGTTTCCGAGTGGCGTCATTTTGACACTGGAGGATCCTCTACATCAGTGAGATCAAGCAGAGGCTCGGAGAATGCTTTGTAGAGCACCTGCGCTCTGTTCACGACAAACGACAACACCTTCCAGTTGCAAACCATTTCAACTCCCCCTCCCACTTCCTGGGCAACATGTCCATCCTGGGCCTCCTCCAGTGTCACAACAACACCACCCAGAAGCTGGAGGAGCAGCACCTCATATTCTGCCTTGGGAGCCTACAACCGAATGGTCTCAATGTAGACTGTACCAGTTTCAAAATCTCCCCACCCTTGGCCTCATCCCATGACCAACCCTCCCTCTCATTCCCGCCTCCTTGACCTGACACAACCTGTCCATCTTCTCTCCCATCTATCTGCTCCTCCCACCTCACTGACCAATCCCCACCACTCCCTACCTGCACTGGCCTATCACCATCCTACCTACCTTTCCCAGCCCCACCCCTCCTCTCTATTTATTTTGGAGCTCCTTTCCCCCTCCCCCATTTCTGAAGAAGTGTTCAGACCCGAAACATCAACTTTCCTGCTCCTCTGATGCTGCCTGGCTTGCTGTGCTCCTCCAGCTCCACATTGTGTTATCTCTGACTCCAGCATCGGCAGTTCTTACTACCTCATTTATAACTACTAGCTGTTTATCTACCTAATCACGCTTGTCAGCAGGCAGGAGGCCTTTGTCATTGATAACTGGACACTAATCTGCAGAACAATCAGCTACTTATTACTGGTCTAAATTCGTACACTGACCCCAGCTCATCTGTAACGAGGCTTTCAACTGCTTGCACAAACCACCTGTTGTATAAACAGTACTTAGAATGAGTATGAAGTTACTTGCATTTAAAAAGTGCAGCAATCCTTGAACAATCCTTCACTTTCAAAACATCCTTTTCCCATTTCATTTCACAACCAAAAATACTGATAAGTAAACTGATACAGTCTTTACAATCTGTGAACCCTCAAGTTTAAATCCATCCATTGTCCGACCATACCCCATCCTCTGACCTAAATTCTCTCTTTGTCTAAATGTTTTGCTAACCTTTCAACTCATTTTTTCATTTTTTTCATTCCTTCTGCCACTTAGGTCTTACTGTCTGGAATTCCACCCTCTAGACACTTTGCCTATTTTTCTGTCTCACTATTTTTCAGAAACTCCTTCTACCCAAACTCTTAAACTGAATTTTTGCTCAATTATTCCTCATCTCTTTCTGGCTTTGCGTGTTTTTCACATGCTTGTACATGAAACTTCTTAGGACTTTTTTTAAATGTTAGAGGACCTATACAGGCTCAAGTTTTGTTGATTGGGCAAAGTACTGAAACTTTTTCAACACGCTTGGAAGCACCCTTGGGGCAGCAGGGCAGCGGGGCGGCACGGTGGCTCAGTGGTTAGCACTGCTGCCTCACAGCACCAGGGACCCAGGTTCGATTCCACCCTCGGGCAACTGTCCATATGTAATGTGCACATTCTCTCCGTGTCTGCATGGGTTTCCCCCCACAGTCCAAAGATGTGCAGGCTAGGTGGATTGGCCATGCTAAATTGCCCATAGTGTTCAGGGGTGTGTAAATTAGGTGGGTAATAGCAGGGGTGGGTCTGGATGGGACGTTCTTGAGGGTTGGTGTGGATTTGTTGGGCCGAAGGGCCTGTTTCCACACTGTAAGGATTCTATGATCTCATATCCCTGCATTCTGTCAAGTGCCTTCAGGACAGGGATAAAAGGAAGAAAACATGGTAAGATCAATGTTTTTAAAAATAATCAATTTAATTAACTTCGCAAGTTTTAATTGTCTTAAACTTCCAAGTGCAATCGACACTTTGTGATGAATTGTGATTTGCATTTGAAAACTTTGACTGCAATTTCTGTTGAGATGTTTATTACTGTTTCTCATTGATGACAGATTGGTATTCCACAAAGAGTGATTCCCACTGTCCTGCAAGCATGCCTGTCCTATAGCCTGATGGCAAAGCTTGCTCCTAATTGGAACAAAGTAGGGCACTTACTGATTCATGGTAATTATCAGGACATTAAATTATTTGGTACATTTGTTTAATCTTTCCCACTTCATATTGAATTTATTGAACTGGAAGTAATTTGAAGAGCCTGAATAAAAAAAGAATTATAATAAATTTCTTGAAAACATACTGTTGCTTTTTGATAAGCTTATTAAGAATGCTTTAATTTGTCACACTGATATGTGATATACTGATTTAGAATTAGGTTTATTGCCACGTGCTCATGTACAGGGATACATGAGTACAGCAAAAAAGTGTACAAATTCGCCATTTCCAGCACCTTCTTAGATACAAAATCTTTGGTATAAATCAGAAAAATGAAAAAATAAAATTTAAAAAATTAGACTTCAAAGTTGAATTTATCCAATTAAAATATAGCACTTGTAATGTGTTATTCCTCCAAATTGTATCAAATTACCCAAAAAAAAATTGTATATGTTCTTCTCTTGTTGATGACAGTCGTCCTCATGTTTTTATTTTTTCCCTAAAGGCAAATATTATTCCATATTTTTGTTGGTAGAGAATGTTAAACCACATGACTCAAAATAACTTTAAAAGCCCACAGGTAATGTTTAGATATGAGTAACTCAAAAAATACTGGAGTTCAATCTGCCAATTGTACACAGAGTTTATTTTTCCAGGATGTAAATGCATATCACTGATTATGTGTTTCTATCAGTGAAATGAATTTAAGAAGGGAAGAAAGCTGTTTTGTTTGTCACATTAGTTATACTTATCATAGATTCTGAGATATTCGGGCAGAGCAGAATTATAAAATTAATAGGGCTAAATTTGTATGGAACGTCTACTTTTGTTCAGAAACTAACTTTTATCTGTGAAAAATTGATGTTTAAATACCATTGTGGTGATCATAAACAAAAACAAAAAGCATTGATGATAGTAATTTTCAGTAAAACAGTTGACAAGAAAACACATTTTATAGAATATATTGATGCTATTTAAGTGCAATAATTGTTTTTTGTTTGTAAATAAGGGAAAGACTTTTTGAGCAAAGCAGAAAAACAGAATGCAGTTGGTGAGTCAAATAGTTGGTATTGAAATTTTTGAACAACTAAAAATTATTTGCAGGCTAATCTCAGAATGGATAGTGTCGAACGTTGCTATATATTTATGTCTTGTATCCATGTAAAATTTGAAAAAAATCAAATTTGTTAAAACCTCAAGATTGAAATAAGTTAAACCCAGAATTCTATAGGGCTATATAAACTGCTGAAAAGAATCTCTACCCACCAGTCATCTTTGAAACTGATGCCCCATTAAATTGTGCAGTGAGCTCATTTGTGGCTTATTAGAACATGTAGATATTTTCAAATCAATCTGTACAGAGATGTTGTAATACGCCTCTGGAGTAGGTCAGACTTGAACCTGGGCCTCCTATCGTAAAGGTAGAGACACTACTAAAGCACTACAAGAGCCCCAATTAAGACATGCAGTGCAGGTTTGGAAATGTGCAGAAGCTGGCTGGTGAAGTAATTAAGTATAAAGCAGCTTGAACAGCAGAAAAGACTTTTGAATAGTTATGATAAATGGCTCCAGTGAAACTGTGTGTCACTTATAAAGTACATTTTCCAGTGGAAGAACAGTCAGAAGCACCCAGGGTGGCAGTGGAGCAAACATTTGTAAAGAGACCACTTCAGATATACTTCAGGCATGTAATGTGCCCTTGGAAAGAAATCTTTACAAAAAGAATATCTTGTGCTAAGTGGTAGGAAATGACACTTAAGACATTTTAGATAGAACCTTCACTGTGTTAGGAAATAAAATGTGCGGTAACATTCAATGCACTATTCCCTTTGTCTGATTTTTTTCCTCTCCATGAAGGTCAGTTCTAAAGAAAATTGGGTAATAATTATTACAATCTCCTAAGAGACCGATAACTTGTAAAAAAGATATTCAATATTTTAAATACCGACAGGTAGGATCATACGACAATATTTTGAGTTATAAGACTTTTTCCATAACTTCAGACAGGCCTTGAGTGATTTTGGTAATGGCAAAAATATTGGGAAAAATATAACGAGAATGAAAAATATCAAATTCCTGATGCTGAGAAGCATTCATTTATTTCCACTCCACTATTACCATTATTTCCTGCATGCTCCACCGTCACCTTTGATTATTCTTCCACACAACTGGGCATTGCCAACCACCATTGACTGCTTTCCAACCAATTCTCACACCAATTCAGGACTGCACTTTGCAGCTCTTGACTTAAATGCTTTTGCTGGGTCACTTTGCATACAGGAACACACACATCTCATATATCTACAAAGGATCTTGTATATGTCTCTTAGCTTGCTTTCTTAGCACTCACTCAATTTGCACTAACTTTGAGGCTGCCAGCTCTCAACAACTTTGCTGTTTAACACGGGAAGAGGCAGCAGCTTGTCACATTTGGGAGTACTGAACAGTCAAGGAAACGAATATGTTGATGTATAACTGCGGGCTACATCAATGTTGCACATACAGCATGTGCCAGCAACTAATGTGTCATATCTAGTGTAATAGTGGAAAAATCTCTGAACTTAACTTGCCCAATATGGCATTTGCGCTTTGGTTTTGAAATGTTACTTGCATAAAGTTACCAAGGCTTTTACCTAGGTATAAAATTAGCCTCCTTGCAAAGTTGATGCCTCTGTGCTGCGCTGTAAGAGCCCATAATTTGCCATTTCATGGTGATTGATGTGGAGGTACCGTTACTGATAATGCTTTTCTATTTCTAACATTCCCACCAATTATGTGATCACTCAAGTGAAATAAAGCTAGCGCCAGAGGATATAGTGGTGTTGTTGTTGTCTGTGAGAAGACAGCATCAAAGAAAGACAGCAAATGTGGACATTAAGCAGGACAGTCTAATAGGGTAGTTAAGAAAACATATGGATGCTTGCCTTTATCAGTCGTAGCAGAGATTATAAAAACAAGGAGGTCATGTTAGAGCTGTACAGAATTTTGGAAAGGCAACAGCTGGAGTTCAGGAGCAGTTCTAGCCACTACACTGTAGGAATGATCTGATTGAAGTGGAGGGAGGCAAAGAAGTGGACAAATCCATTGGTCCGGATGAGTGATATTCCAGGCAGCTGTGGGAGATGAGGGAAGAAATTACAGAGCTCTAACCCAAATTTTTAAATCATTTCTGGCCACAGAGGCAGTGACAGAGGACTGGAGAACTGCAAATGTGGTTCTATTTTACAAGAAGGACGGTAGGAATAAAATAGGTAACTATAGACCAGTGAGTCTAACAGTGTTAAGGAAACTACTGGAGGAAATACTGAAAGAGAAAATCAATCTCTGTTTAGAGAGGGAATGATTGATAGTAGACATGACTCTGTCAGAGGGAAATCATGCCTAACAAATCTGGTGGAATTTTTCAAGGATGTCACCAAGTGTTTGGATGAGGGTAGGGGCAGTTGATGTAGTTTATATGAATTTCAGCAAGTCTTTTGACGAGGTGCCTGGGAAACTGGTAAAGAATGTGGAAGCTCATGGAATTCAGGGTAACATAGCAAGTTGGATCCAGAATTGGCTTAGTGGCGAGAGAGGGTGGCGATAGAGGCCGTTTGTGTGACTGGAGCCTGATGTGCATTGGGATACCACAAGGATCAGTGCTGTATCCCTTGTTGTTTATGATGTTCATAAATGACGTACATGAGAATGCAGAGGGAATAATAAGTAAGTTTGCAAATGACACAAATACCAGATGGTTGACAGTGAGGACCCTAATAGATGTGATGCACTTTGAAAAAGGAACAAGACAAGAGAATACTGAATAAATGGCAAGACGATAAGAAGTCAGGAAAAGTACGATCCAGGGATGCTTGCCAACAAATGCCTAAATGTGGTAGGACACGGTAATTTAGAAGCCATAATTTAGGTCAAAGATTATAAGAGCAAGGAGGTTATGTTGGAGCTATACAGAACTTCTGTTAGGCCACAGCTAGAGTAATGTGTGCAGTTCTGGTCACCACACTACAGCATGGATGTGATTGCATTGGAGATGGTGCAAAGGATATTCACCAAGATGTTGCCTAAGATAGAGCATTTCAGCTATAAAGAGAGGCTGGATGAGCTGGGGTTGTTTTCTCTGGAGCAGAAGGGGTGTTACCTGGTAGAGGTGTATAAGACAATGAGGAGCATAGACAGGGTGAATAGAAAGCAATTGTTCCCCTTAGCCAAAGCGTGAATAACAAGGAGTATCATTTTAAAGGGAAAGGCAGGAGGTTTAGAGGGGATCTGAGGAAAAGCATTTTCACCCAAAGGGTGGTGGTGATCTGGAATGCACTGCCTGGCAGGATAGTTGAGACAGGAAACCACACAACCTTTTTAAAAAGTACTTGGAAGAGCATTTCAATGTCATAATATTCAAGGCTATGAGCCAACTGCAGGAGAGTTGGAGTACTATAAGGAGCAGTATGTTTTTGGCAGTACAGCCTTAATGGGCCAAATTGGTTCTTCTGTTCTGTGTGTTCACCAAGACCAGCAAAAAACAGGACTCTCCAGTGACTACTACATAGCCTCCAGAGGATAAACCAGCAGCTAAAGATCCCTAAGAGAGGCAAAGAAGGTTGAATAGAACCTGAATATACTGGCCGACATTAATTATAGCTGTTGAAAACACAATGCAGGCACAAACTAAGGATTTCCAAACCATTATCACCAAATTATGCCTTATGTTCAGAAGGAATGGTTGGCGATCCCTTCTCAACGCCCATCAAGGTTCCAACTACCCTGAATTTTTATGTCAGTGGCTCATTCCAAGGAACAACTGGGGACCTGGGTGGCATTCTGTCAATCTTTGGTCACAATGTTTCTGGGAATTCAAAGATGTTATTCTCTGCTGATTAAACCACTTTAAAACCTCTACCTCCCGCTCATAAGAAGGACAGTCAAGTTGTTGCTCTCTTCCCACAGATGCACGGCACAATAAACTGTTTTGACAGTGCCCTGTCACCAACCTACAGAGTTTATCAAGGGAAATATCTTCCCCTTCATCTGTGTCCCAGCTTCTCTGTGATCATAAGTTACTGATTCTGGAGATGTGCCCCAGATATCCTGGGGCCACCTCCTTTTCACTTTTCCCCCATTGGTTGGTCTCCACCATTTCACAGTTTGTGTAGTTTGATAAATGGTACTGAAATGCTTAAGTGTCCTGTAGCACAGTGTTTAACCCAAGAGTTATAGTGCTTTATACAGCTTTAGTCAGCAGGCTACTGATCTACGAGAGAGAATGGAAATACCAACTTTTTAATTTACACCTTCCCCATTTTAAGTGGTAGTGTTTGCTCTTGTGAAGCTGAAAGATGGATTGTGACATTGTCTGCTGAGATTTATGGAACCATTACCGATTTTGACCTCTCACTCATAGGGTGGGTGTATCTGTGAATGATAAATGCAGGGCACGCCCTGTCACAATCCCTGCACACTGTTTGTATCCTCAGTGCTGCCTACTCAAGTGCCATGCCTTGGCTGCAATCATCAACTTGATAGCTAAGGGATATGTGATGTCTGATGCATCCTCACTCAAGTACTTAGTAACTTGTTAGAGATAAGTAATGTTTGTCCATTACAATCGGTTTCATTCTAGGGATGTCTGAAAAGAATGCACAAATGTCAAATGAATGTGACTTCAGTAGTTCTGAAAGCTACAAAGTGATTAAAGCAGACAATTAAAGAGTATCAATGAACATGTATTTACGAAAGTTCGGGATAATTTACAATGATCATGCCACCTTAGTATGTTTCTTTTTCTTCCTTTCCCTTCAACTACATCGAAATGAAGTTTCAAAGTCCACGTGCAGGGAGCCAGCTGTATGGTTGGCCCTGTGGCTGAGAAGACTTGGCTGGATATCCCCAGGACATTTGAGTCTAGAGTGCCCTAGCCTGAGTATTGTGCCCACAGCCAGACTCACTCTTCTTGACTTGAACTTCTGCAGATCTTAGCATCACAGACACAAGAGGGTGAAGGGGCCATGTATGTCTGGAGTACCCCAAGAGGAAGATACTGGGAGGCCTGTTTATGGCTCATCCTCTGTCTGGGTGCCTGCTGGCACCATACTGCCGGCACCACACTGCCTTCCTGAGGCGAAGGGCACTTGGAGTAAAGCTGAGGTTCCTTGCTGTCCCCTCTCAGCCTACTGATACTGACCAGTGACAGTGATGGAGTGCAGATCTGTGCATATATCTGGCAGACACTTAAGTGTGCTGGATCTCTGCCTCCATCTCCAAGAATAAGTTAGCACTGAAGTTACTGGGACAGCTGGATGAAACTCACTTGCTTGGTTGGACATGGCAGTCTTGGAGTTCCCACCTTTAGTATCTTCTCCTCATATAAAATGTGGAACCTAATGTTTGCCACAATGCTGCCAGTCTTGGCCCAGTTACGAGATATTTCCTGCAAGTATGATGGAAGTGGACGCGAGAGGCAGTACTGTTCATGCATTAAGAGGAGAGGCGGTGACATGCCCTCAGTGAGTGAGTGGGGAGTGTTGTGTATAGGAAAAGTGGGGAGGATGAGGTGGGCAAGAGTCGGATGGTGAGAGTGTAGGTCATAAGCCTTTGTGAGAGGTATGTGAGTGGCAGAGTTAGCAGTGAGTAATGGTGGCCCTGTGAGTATTAGGTAGCATAGACTTGTGTTTGTGGCCACAGAAGATCATTAACCTTCTTTCAGCACAGCTGTGTTTTGCGTTTTGACCCTGGAGACTGCATTGGCCCAGATTTCTATCTCAGTCCAAGCTGACTGTTCTGATGGTGTAGGTTCTTTTGGCATTTTGGAGGGAACAGCACTGTCCTTCTTTGAACTACACCATCTAACAGGACCTCAAGATCCTTGTTGGAGACACTATGTGCAATCTGGCCTTTCTGCACCATTTGCTGATGACGAATGGTTACCCCACAGTGTTCCTTGTAGTGGCTTGCATCGCCTGAAGCACTGTGGAGCTGGGGTTTAAATATTACCCCATTGACGTGAAGGTTGCCAAGTCGCAATAGCATCGAGCATTTTGCATGCTCCTGCTATATGATTGTATGAGCTGGTCACAGTGGAGGCTGACTGCATAATTAGTGAGCTCAAGAGCAGATGATTATATGAGACAAGTCGAGATGAACCGTGGCAGACTGCCTGCCATGACAATTTGCCAAAAATTGGGAAAATTCAGCCATAAGAAACTAAAAGCAGCATTGTTTAAACATTATTCAGTAGACAACTTAAACTCTAAATACAAAAATTTTCCCCATTTAACTTTTGGAAAAAGTATATACCTCCTGCCGCAGCCATACTTCACAGTGTGCCATATGGACGCTAATCTCCCAGAACCAACCCAAAGCTGTTTTCTGCTTCTGATGACTTGCTTCCATTTTCTCTTCCCAACTAGGTAACTTCTAATCCAGAACTGACTTTCACATTGAAGATCACCCTGGAGATTCCTTCCTCTAGACAAAGCGAGGTGAATCTTCCAGCCTTGTCAAGATCTCACAATCCTGGTCTCTAAATCGGAATGCCAGCTCCATCTGTATTCCGCAGATGAGTAATAGAGACAGCAGATGCAGGACTGAGGTTATCTTGGAAACTTGCGACCCAGTTTAACAATTGTTCTATCTATTTTACCTTCCTAAAGCCCATTCCCACGGGAACATGAATTGCACCAGCTTTGTATCCAGGTAGAAGTGCTAGTTGGCTTGCCTCCAGACCCTAACAACATTCTACCTTGGAATTAAATGGACAATTTAAATTATAACCACTTATAGTCTGTGATGTTCCTAATGCCTTCCTGCGGTACATGGAGATTAACAGTCTACCTCCAGTCTATGATTCCCCCTAGTTTTGATGGATGTGTGGACGTTATGCAGAATTCGTTGGGTTGGTGTGCGCAGATCCTCTGAACAGCTGTATGAGTGCACAGCTTACAGAAAACATTAATTTCAACTAAGGCAGAAACTACTGTCGTTGTTTACAGGTTGAATATCAGGCTTGTAATTCTAAGTAAGCTCAAGCCATCCTTTAACTTGAGCAGATTCCTGAGCAGACTATGTGGATCCCTTCATTCCATTATTTTGCCTTAACTTAAAAAGCTAGTCCCAAAACGTAGTAATCTTATAAATATTGCATTTGTAAAAGTATAACTAACATCAGAATCACTATTGGGATAGCAAGAACTGTAGATGCTGGAGTCAGGGATAACAAAGTGTGGAGGTGGAGGAAAACAGCAGGCCAGGCAGCATTCGAGGAACAGGAAAGCTGATGTTTCAGTTCTTTTCTGAAAAAGGGTCCTGACCCGAAATGTCAGCTTTTCTGTTCCTCTGATGCTGCCTGGCCTGCTGTGTTCCTCCAGCTCCACAGTTTGTTATCTCAGAATCATTGCCTATTTCATACCCCTTACTGATTTTCCCACCTTAATCTTTACATTTATTTTGTATTTTCATTGTGCTTTTGACACTTTGAAGAGTGGCAAACTTCAAAGTTTTACATAAGTTCCTTGAAATTAAATTGCTGACTTTTATCAGATATGTATTTAATAAGTTACTAATTGTTAACAATCACAATCCAGAACATTTGTGAAGTGAAATTGTATTCATTTCAAAATAAAGGTCACCATTCACTGTTAATTGAACATGTTATTAAGTTTCAAACATTTGCAATGGTTCATTGATTAATGAGTTATAACACTAATTTAATCATTGGTACAATGTACTTCTTAATTACAGTTTTGGAGTTGAATGCCTCAGAGACCCAACTGTGTATTAGTGTGGAAGCCTCCACTGTTCGACTGTCTCAAGCAAAGGTATTACCTGCCTTTTTTTCTCTTTTAAGTTTTAAATTTATTTTTAAAATTTCATGGTTTTCATCCCTATCTTGGGTATTTGTTATATGTATTTTCTGTGATGTGTAGGATAGGTAACCTAAGTTCAGTCAAGTGCAAGATGAAATTGTGGTGATGAACCTGAATCCTAAGAATTGCTTGGCAATAAAAGATCAAGGTTCAGCCAGTTCGTCTTCTATGACCTTTGGTAGCTAATCTAGTGCATGAACTGAATTCTTCACGAGTCCTTGCAGTCTCTGTCATTTGGTCTACAATGGACCCAGCCATGACTTAAGAAAAACTGCTGTGGTGGAAATTATTAGAAGTCATGGGTTCAAAGCCACCTGCCTGTTCCAAACAAGCTATATCTCAAATTGTTCTGTATGTTGGCACAGCAATAAATGTCAGATTAAACAAAGACAGATATATTTACAGTCTCTGTGGGAAACTACAAAATAAAATGACCAGTTGTACCGAATGACTCAAAAAATAATGAATTTTCAATTTTTGTAAGTTTTGTTTTAATAAATATAGGAATCATGAATTAAGAGGCGAATCATTGTTGGTACGAACAGTGTTACACATGGAATAGTAGATTCCAAAAAAATCAGTCTCACAAAATTATAAGAACTCAAATCTGACCTTTACGTGGAGTGCAGTGCTTGTCCCTAAAAACACCAGGAGTTCTATTGCTGTGTTAATGTGTCTTCCTGAAGCAGTGAACCCACAACAGGAGTTCTGTGTCCATGTAGCTTCCATATGTTAACTCTGTTTCTCTGGATAATGCCTCCAGGTCAAGTTTTGAGGGGAGGTGCGGGTACGAGTATATGTTTTCATCAGAAAATTACAAGTAATCCATTTGCAAATGATAGAAACTCTTAAATTCCTTTGCAAACATTTTAGAAAGAATTACAAATTTCTCAAACATTTTGAAGTAATTACAATTTTTTTTTTTCTCTTAGTACTTACGGCTGAAAGTTTGCCCCTATAATTTATGTAAATAAATTCACCATAAAGTGTACCATGATCAGTTAATTTATATTTATATTTATTTAATATACATACATTGGCAAGAAAGTTGGGAGAGAGACCGACAAACTCTGCTTTGCAAAGGCAGGTAATGATAAAAGCTGGATACTCAATCATGAGATAGTAGGAACTGCAGATGCTGGAGAATCTGAGATAACAAGGTGTAGAGCTGGATGAACACAGCAGGCCAAGCAGCATCAGAGGAGCAGGAAAGCTGACGTTTCGGGCCTAGACCCTTCTTCAGAAACTCCATCATGATGCTTGATATTAGGAATACTGGGAATTACTGATGGGCATTTTATAATAGTAATTCAAAAATGTTTGACCAGAGAAAGTAATATTTGTGTATAGAATTTGTGCACCATACAAAAAGAGGGAGAAATTTGTTTTTAGTATATTTAGTATATTACCTTGACTCCTTGATTTCCATGGAGAGTTGAGGTAAGTTGATGTGATATTGCTAGAGCTATGCAAGTTAATTTCTCTCCCCACACTTCTAAATAGGAATCTTGTCAGTAAGATTCTCAATTTATACATAATATTATTTTTGCGGCAGTTAGAGTATCATATTATTAAAAATTTCTTTAGTAAGATCAGCATTTATTGCCCATCCCTTTTGAACTTGAGAGGGTGTTGGTGGCCATCTTCTTGAATCTCTAGTTTGTGTGGTGAAACTGTTCCACAGCACTGTTAAGGAGAGAATTAAAGGAGTTTGACTGTGTAACCAACTCAGTGTAATATGCAACTTGGAAAGGACCTTGAAAGTGATGGTTCCTCTGCATCTTCTGCCTTTGATTTTTTTTTATAATGTTGAAGTTTGAATGGTGGTATTGAAGGAGCGTTAGAGAGTTGCAGCAGTGGCACCCTGTACACAGTACATTCTGCAAGCATAGTTTGAGCATAGTTTAAGGTGGTAGATTCACTTGATCAACAGACTACTTTGTGCTGAATGGTGTTAAGTTTGTTGTGTTCCTGTATTTGTAACCATGATTGCAAGATGGCGGCAGGGTAAGTCGCTCCATTTTGGAGCTCCACTCTGCTCACCAGTTCCCTTTCCTTTTTTTTTTTTTCTTCTTCTCCTCTCTCCTCTCTGTAGTAATTCTATCCCCCGACCCCCCCATCCTTTTAACTATCTACCTAAGGAGTCAGGACACAATGGGAAGGCATGTGGTGGGAGCTGAATGCATGGGCTGTCCTGCAGAGACAGTGAATCAAATGTGGGCCAGAGTGACGACAGCGGCACCGAGAGTGGGCCAGTGAGATAGTGGCAGTTGGTGGTGAGAGTGGGCTGGTGAGGCAGCAGCAGTCTGCGGCGAGAGCAGGCCTGTAAGGCAGTGATGGCGGCCTACCAATTGGAGTGAAGCCTGCACCATTGTGGAGATGGGACTTAGGACTTGGAGATCTGGACCATTTTTTTTTTTCTTGCTTACCTTCTGGATCTGTTAAATCTTTTAATTCCAGTCTCTGTAACCAAGTGGGTGCCAGTGAATGGCAACTTTGTGCTGTAGCTATGCATGCCTATTCTTAGGTCATGTGACAAATAAATAAATCCAAGACATGTAAGAACTAGGAACAGAAGTAGATCGTAGACTCCTTGAATCTGGCATTCCATATTATCATTTTTTGCCTTAGCTGCACTTTTCTGTTGGTTCCCAATATCCTTGGTCTACCTAACCCTTGAATATACTCAATGATACCCACATCCCTTCATGGTAGCAAATGAAGATTCACAACTATCTAGGTGAAGAAATCTCTTCTCCTCTCAGTCCTAAGTGACTGACCTGTTTCAACGAGGTCACCTTGATTTTCCTGTAATTTTAAGCCTAGTTTATTCAGTTCCTCACAGTCTTCTTATCTGTGGAGCTGATCCAGTGAATCTTCACTGTACTATCTCCCAGGCAAATACATCCCTACATACATAGACATATCAAAACCACACACTATACTCCAAGTATATTTTTACCAAAGCCCTATATGATTGCAGTAAGATGACTTTATTCTTGTATGCCAATATGTGTTACAACAAAGGTCAACATGTCATTGCCTCCTGTTTGCATGATTTATTTGCATATTAGCTTTATGTTCCCTAGACGTGTAGACCCAAATCTGTCTCAAAATCAAACTTTAAACCTTTCACTACCATTTAAAAAATGGTTTTTGCTACTGAACTAAATAACCTAAATACTTGGAATATCACATTCCACTGTGATGTATTTGCTCACTTAACTTATTATTGCTTTGCAACCTCTTTGTTTCTCCTCAAAATTTGCATTACTTCTTTCTTACTTACCCATGAATGTGGGCAGCACTGGCTGGCCAGCATTTTACGCCTATCACTAGTTGACCTTGGGAAAGTGGTGGTGAGCTGCCTTCTTAAACTGCTGCAGTCAGTCCACTTATGTAGATTGACCCACAAAGTCCTCAGGGAGGGAATTCCAGGATTTTGACCCAGTGACACTGGAGGAACAGTAATATATTTCCAGGTCAGGATGATGAGTGACATGGAGGGTAACTTGCAGGTGGTGGTGTTCTCATATATCTGCTTTTCTTGTCTTCCAGATGGAAGTGGTCGTGTGTTTAGATGGGGTGAACTTTTGAATTGCAACTTGAAGATAGCATACGCTGCTGCTACTGAGCATCGGTGGTGGAGGGAGTGGATGATTGTGGATTTGGTGCCAAACAAGCAGGATGCTTTATCCTGGATGGTGTTAAACTTCTTGGGTGTTATTGGAGCTGCACCCTTCCAGGCTATTGGGAGAATTCCATCACACTCCTGACTTGGGGCCTTGTAGATGGATGACAGTACAGTAATCCAGATCCACCCTTGAAAAGATTGAAAATATCATAGACCTTTACTTCAGTCGATAGGAGGGATCCCTATAAGTGTGGGTGAGAAAGAGATCTGCAGTCAGCAGGGTCTAGCCACTTTTGGATGACCCCATGACCTGAGGCATAGTGTCATTTACAACACAGGAGCTATTTGGTCTTTCAAGTCTGTGTCATGAAGCAGTCCAGCCTGTCCCATTTTCCTGCCCTATCCACATAGCTCTTTATTTTCTTCAATTATGCTTTGCCTTGACTGCCCATACAATATCATTGGAGATCACCTACATATTGTGTATTACTGGTTATTAAAAATATTTTCCCATAATTCATAGGTCGAAGACTTTGACATATCAGCAGGAGTGCTGAAGAGTTTCTACAACAGGAAAGTTGCTGTAATTCCAAAACATTTCATTTCCAGTGAATGGTGCTATGTGTTGCCCAGGTAATCTTTGTTGAAGAATTACATAAAATCAACCTTACACCATCATCACATATTTCTGTTTGTTTTCCCAACCTAGGATGAATGCTTGGTCATATTTGTAGTCAAAATGGTCTGCTGTGGCATTTAATTCTGAAGAAGAATAAAAGGGCCGCATGAACAGTGAAACATGGGACGTATAAGGACAAATCTTTGAAGACAGCAGGAAAAGTTACTATAGGCATATGGGATTTGAATTTACTAATAGCATTAAACACAAAAGCAAATAACTTATTCAGAGATAGTAGGAACTGCAGATGCTGGAGAATTTGAGATAACAAGGTGTAGAGCTGGATGAACACAGCAGGCCAAGCAGCGTCAGAGGAGCAGGAAAGCTGGCGTTTCGGGCCTAGACCCTTCTTCAGAAATGGGGGAGGGGAAGGGGGTTCTGAAATAAATAGGGAGAGAGGGGGAGGCGGATAAAAGATGGATAGAGGAGAAGATAGGTGGAGAGGAGACAGACAGGTCAAAGAGGCGGGGATGGAGCCAGTAAAGGATCTCTCCTTCCTGGACCTCTGTTTCCATTTCTGGCAACCACCTAGAAACCGATATCCATTTCAAGCCCACCGACTCCCACAGCTACCTAGAATACACCTCCTCCCACCCACTTTCCTGCAAAAATGTCATCCCCTATTCCCAATTCCTTCGCCTCTGCCGCATCTGCTGCCAGGATGAGGCATTCCACTCCCGTACATCTCAGATGTCCTCGTTTTTCAAGGACCGCAACTCCCTCCCTCCCCCCCCCACCCCACCACCCCCTTGGCTGTGGCCCCCATTTTCCCCAACTCATCCCTCACCCCCCCTCCCCGCAATAACAACCAAAACAGAATCTCCCTCGTCCTCACGTACCACCCCACCAACCTCCGGATCCAACGCATCATCCTCCGTCACTTCTGCCATCTGCAATCCGACCCCACCACCAAAGACACTTGTCCTTCCCCACCCTTATCTGCTTTCCGGAGGGACCACTCTCTCCGTGACTCCCTGTCCGCTCCACACTCCCCTCCAGCCCCACCTCACCCGGCACTTTTCCCTGCAACCGCAGGAAGTGCTACACCTGCCCCTACACCTCCCCCCTCACCCCCATCCCAGGCCCCAAGAAGGCTTTCCACATCAAGCAGATGTTCACCTGCACATCTGCTAATGTGGTATACTGCATCCGCTGTTCCCATTGTGGCCTCCTCTACATCGGGGAAACCAAGCGGAGGCTGGGGGACCGCTTTGCAGAACACCTACGCTCGGTTCGCACTAAACAACTGCACCTCCCAGTCGCGAACCGTTTCAACTCCCCCTCCCATTCCTCAGACGACATGTCCGTCTTGGGCCTCCTGCAGTGCCACAACGATGCCACCCGAAGGTTGCAGGAATAGCAACTCGTATTCCGCTTGGGAACCCTGCAGCCCAATGGTATCAATGTGGACTTCAAAAGCTTCAAAGTCTTTCCTCCCCCTACCGCATCCCAAAACCAGCCCAGCTCATCCCTGCTTCCCTAACCTGTCCTTCCTCCCACCTATCCCCTCCTCCTACCCTAAGCCCCACCCCCATCTCCTACCTACTAACCTCATCCCACCCCCTTGACCTGTCTGTCCTCCCTGGACTGACCTATCTCCTCCCTAACTCCCCACCTACACTCACCTTTACTGGCTCCATCCCCCACCTCTTTGACCTGTCTGTCTCCTCTCCACCTATCTTCTCCTCTACCCTTCTTCTATCCGCCTCCCCCTCTCTCCCTATTTATTTCAGAACCCCCTTCCCCTCCCCCATTTCTGAAGAAGGGTCTAGGCCCGAAACGTCAGCCTTCCTGCTGCTCTGATGCTGCTTGGCCTGTTGTGTTCATCCAGCTCTACACCCTGTTATCTCTTATAGCAAATAATTTAAGCTGAATCTTTATAAACCATTGGTTTGTGTTCTGCTGGATAACATAATCGGTAAAAGTGGAGACCTCATGTTTTTTTTAAATAGAGAGTAATTGTGATCTGGAATTCATTGCCTGAAACTGTGGAAATAGCAAATCTAACAATAATTTTCTAAATGGAATGTATAGTCTCATGAAGCTGTGGAGACAGAGCAGGAAGTGGGAGTAATTGAGCAATAAGGCAGCATGGTGGCTCAGTGGTTAGCACTGCTGCCCTCACCGTGCCAGAAACGTGGGTTCGATTCCACCCTTGGGCAACTGTCTGTGTGGAGTTTTCACATTCTCCGTGTGTCTGTTTGGGTTTCCTCCCACAGTCCAAAGATGTGATGATTAGGCGGATTGGCCATGCTGCATTGCCCACAGTGTCCAGGGATGTGCAGGCTACTTGGTTTAGCTATGGGAAATGCAGGGTTACAGGAAAGGGGAGGGGCTGAGTCTGGGTGGAATGCTGTCCAGAGGGTTTGTTTGGACTCGATGGGCTGAACGGCCTGCTTCCACGCTGTAGGGATTATATGATTCTAACTGTTTCAAAGAAATGGGCTAAATGGTTCCCTTCCTTTCTGTATCATTTTAGGATTCTAAAAATTTTGCTCATAAAACCTGTGCAATATATATCGTAAATATACATTGAAATTGAAGTGGAAACTGAATGGGAGAATACAAATTAAAATCGGCATTTTCAGCTAAATTATGCCATCCCTATTCTTTGAATTGTTTGGTAATACCATTGACACAGCATAGGTTTTTTTCCATGAGTAAAAGGAGTAAAATGTAATGGAATTATTGTTTGAGCAAATAACTGAATGTATCAAAAGAATCGTGAATACCATGATGATTGTTTTCGATTCTCCAGAAATGAATGTAATTGTCAATGTCGATAATACAAAAGATGTCAGGCTGTTTCTTAAAGGAGCACGAGGAAAGTCTCCATCCTTTATCTCAGGAATTGAGCTCGTGAAAAAGTTACGGATCATGAGTACTTAATGCAGTGCTTATAGTATCAATTTAGTCTGATGGTTCTAGATAATTTTTTCTGATCATTTTCTGAGATGAGTGACACTATCACTGTACATTAGGCCTTGAATTGAGTGACTTTTCAGGCCATTTAAGAGCACAGTTGCGAGACAGCCACATTGCTGTGGCCTTGGAGTCACACATAGGACAGGCAGAATGGCAGATTTCCTTCCCCATAGAATATTAGTGAACTGGATGGATATTTGCAGAAATTGTTGATAATTGTCACAGTCACTATTTCTGAACTAACTTTATACCATCAGCCACACTCCCTCAATAATAATGTAAGTGAAAATGCGTTCCAGTGATACTTCAGTGCTGGACTACTCCCAACAAATGGCCGTATACGTGTAGAAAAGTTAAGTGCAACTCAGAGTACATTAGAGAAAGATGAGTGATTTCTCCAACTCTCCTAGTTGTGTGGCAAAGGAACATGACCTGTCTTTGCCTTGAGCAGTTCTCAGTGTTTATTGATAATCTACACAAAGTAATTATATTTTTTTGGATATTCAGACTTTCACTTTTTTTAAAATGTAGTATGAAGAAAGGGCAAATTGTCAGTATCAGCCATGAGATTCCACCACATTGTCCATTTCGATCCTACAGAGATTTTCAGAAACACTGGAAAAATATGGTGAGACAGTAAGACTTTCAACTTTTATTTCAGAAGAAGAAAACCTTATTTAGTTCAATCATGACTTGTGCAAAGCAAAAGTTCTGTGTAATGTTATTTTCAATGTATACAAATTACTTGGTGACAAACAAATTTCATTCGACCATAAGAATCATACTGCATAGCCTCAAAGCTGAAAGGAAGCTAATCTTGATGACCTCGTCCAAAAAATAATCGCAATTCTTAGGCATATCTAATTTACATCATGCTGCATCTGTTTGTCTGTTGCCTGGTGTTAAATAACAATCAAACTTCTTTTAGAGACAGCGGTCAACTTAATTCCTTAGATTTATTGCCAGTTTTATGCATCTGTTGTTTTAGTGACTAAATTAACAACAGGTCATGAAATGGATATTTTCTTAACATGTATGTTTTGAATAACCAGAAAATATTTTGTTATAAATATAACAATACTGATAAATGACAACTTTTTTTTCAACTTGCTGCTTGGGTGTAAAACTCATGGTGTATAATGACTGTGTTGGTAACTCCCAGTTTTCATTTTCATTAGTATTGTGTAGTAACTGTACCAATGTGCAATCAAAAGACTAAAATATGCTTACCAACTCTATATCCTGATGACAAGTTGAAAACTTACTCCATTTATTTCCTTACCTCCAAACATGAGGAAGCTGATTTTATCTCGCTTAGAACCCATCCACTTAAAGGTAAAATTAGGTCCCCAGATTCAGTAGAGTGAGATAGAAACCTTTATGTCACCGGTAGAATATTTGAGAATGAGCACAAAATCTAAGTTTAAATCGCCTTTGTCCTAATTCTGTTCTCTCCATTTTGATCTTTTGATTTTATTGTACCTTCTATAGTTAAGGTAGGCAATCAGGACAGAGTGATGCCAGTGCCTTTAAGAAGTTTCCACTTTTAAGGCTGCAAACTTTTTACCTTAAGACACTGTGGAGTTGCACAGTTGATATTATAAAGATGTATACATAAAACAGTAATTCAAAAAAAGGTATAATTCACCATTGAATTACTTCCATCAGAACACTCCATTAGTTCTCCATCAAGGGGTCACTGTGTAAAATTAAGAGTTGCTGAAATAAAATAATAAATAAGTAGAATTTTTTTCTTAGAGGTTCATGAATCTTTGGAACTATCTTCCTCAAGGCAGTGGAAACAGGGTCTTTGAATTATTTTTAAGGCAATGGAAGTTAGACTAGAGTCATATAAATGTACAGCACAGAAATAGACCCTTCAGTCCAATTCGTCCATGCCGACCAGATATTCTACATTAATCTAGTCCCATTCGCCAGCAACAAAAACAAAGTTGCTGGAAAAACTCAGCAGGTCTGGCAGCATCTGTGAAGGAAAAAACAGAGTTAATGTTTCAGGTCCGGTGACCCTTCCTCAGAACAGATGGTGGCTGGGAAAATGTCAATTTATATACAGAGAATAGGAACGTGGGTGGGGTAGGGAGTAAACGATGGGATAGAACCCAAAGAGAGAGAAAGACAGTTGGACAGACAAAGGAGTTGCTCATGATCAGGCTTGGGGGGTGGTGAATAGTTGTTAATGGGGACTGTTCATGACTAACGACAGGAGGTGTGTACTGGCAGCTGGTAACAAGGCGTAGTGTGGGGGGGCAGGGGGCTGGGACATGAGAGAGTTTAGGCCATAAGATTATTGAACTCAATATTGAGTCCAGAGCACACCAGGCTTGTTACCACATAGCCTGCCAGTACACACACCCTATCTCTGAAGAAGGGTCTAGGCCCGAAATGTCAGCCTTCCTGCTCCTCTGATGCTGCTTGGCTTGCTGTGTTCATCCAGCTCTACACCTCGTTATCACACACCCTATTGTTGGTCACTAACAGTCCCCATTAACAACTATTCACCCTTCCAGCCTGATTGTTAGCAACTCCTTTGTCTATCCAACTGTCTTTCTCTTTCTTTGGGCTCTATCCTATCGTTTACTCCCTACCCCATCCACCTCCCTATTCTCTGCATATAAACTGACGTTTTCCCAGCCACCATCAGTTCTGAGGAAGGGTCACTGGAACCGAAACATTAACCCTGTTTTTTCCTTCACAGATGCTGCCAGACCTGCTGAGCTTTTCCAGCAACTTTGTTTTTGTTCCTGATTTACAGCATCTGCAGTTCTTTCGGTTTTTACTTCCCATTTGCCAGCATTTGGCCCATATCCCTCTAAACCCTTCCTATTCGTCTACCCATCCAGATGCTTTTTAAATGTTGTAATTGTACCAGCCTCCACTAACTCCTCTGGCAACTCATTCCATACACGTACCACCCTCTGCATGAAAACTTTACCCCTTAGGTCCCTTTTAAATCTTTTCCCTCTGACCTTAAACCTATGCCCTTAGTTTTGGAATTCCCCCACTCTGGGTAAAGACCTTGACTGTTCACCTTATCCATGCCCCTCATGATTTCATAAACCTCTGTAAGATCATCCCTCATCCTCCAATACTCCAGGGAAAATAGCCACTGCCTGTTCAGCATCTTCCTATAGCTCAAATCTCCAACCCTGGCAACATCCTTGTTAATCTTTTCTGAACCCTTTCAAATTTCACAAGATGTTTCCAATAGCAGGGAGACCAGAACTGAATGCAGTATTCTAAAAGCGGCCTAACGAATGTTTTGTGCAGATTGTTGATGAGCTAGTAAGTGAAAAGTTATTGGGCCGGGGGGTGGGGGGGTGATTCTGTGGGGGGCTAGTGGTGGTGGTGAGGGGATGGTGAGGTGTGCCCCTGACGTGGATCAGCCATGGTCTTATTCAAAGGCAGTGCAAGAGCCAAGTGGCCTATTCCTGCTCCTAATCCACATATTTGTGTATATCTTTGTATGTCCATGATCTTAAACTGAAACTTGTCCTAAACATCACCGTCTATAACCCTATACTAGGTATTATAATATCTGTAGGTTTGTGAATCTCCATGATCCACATCCCAAGCTCTTTGAATTAAAAAGACACAGTTTTTGCCTGCAGTGTTCCCACTGCATTGTATTTTTCTATCTTTACATCTTCCTGTATCCAAAGTGTACACACACACTTCATGAAATATCAGTTTTCACATTACTGATGAGGTATATCAACCGTGAACTCCACAATGACTTCGAGGCAAAATATTTGCATCCTCAAAATCTGAAACCTCTTAAAATGCATTGGCATCTTACAAATCTGACCACCTCCACATGTTTCCCTCTTCCCATCTTTGATCACAGAGCCGACTCTACAGTGCTGCCCCTACATTCCTCCACTTGGTCAAATCTCTCCCTCCCAAGACATTCTTTCTGTTTGACTGTTTATCCCCTTATTGTTTCTTCTCTTGCATCACTGCTCAGAATTGTCTATGTGAAGTATTTTAGGAGATCACTGGATCTCACAATTCAGGCTAAGAGCATTTACTTTGAGATGAAACTTATAAATTAAGGTTGATTTTCTGGTGAGGACCTCCCAGTGAGAAGAGACAATACCCAAAATCATTGATTGGAAAATTGTAGACCAGTAGCCCCTGATTTTCCAGCCTTCATTGTGAATGGAAGAAAAAGCACTGAGCACAGACCCAGAATTTCTTGGCTGGTGCTTCCTGGGAACTCACTGAGGTCGTGATCGGGGATATTAGCTTTGTTGAGTTTTTGATGTAATGACTATTACTTTATTGATCACTTACTCCACTGATATCACTTATGGATGATAGTTGACTACCCCTTGTTGTCATTCATGTTTGAGAGAGATACAAATTCAGTTTTACCAAAACAGGAATGCATTCTTTCAGCAGCCAAATATGCAGCAGTAGCTGTTTGATTCAATTGTTTAAGTGGATATGATATTTATTATTCTATCTGTATTCCTCCGTCCCAAATTGTCATAGGGAGAGTTCATAGGGATTGAATTTTAGAATTACAAAATATCATAAGATATACTTGAAAGAAGCTATTTTCTAGGAATTCATCCTAATTCATGGAATAAAGCCAAATTCTCATGCACGTGCTCATAGTAAAGTTGAATTAAATATTTTTGTTGTTAATTTTCAATGATAGAGAATAAATAAAGCCCAAAAAGCATTACTAACTATTTTATTTTGTTGTAGTATGGTTATAATCTTCCCGAGATCAATGATGATATTACACTTTACTACACTGTATACTTCAAGCTGATTGGAGAGAAGCTGTTTACGTATCCTTGATGAGGAAGATTCCGCTATATAACTTGTGTTCTGCTTTTGCATACTGCTAATGTCATGTCAACTATGTTTTCTGTTTAAACGAGAGGAAATACAGACAAAATGAACTTCAGGAGCAATAATCAAAATAATCTAATTCAGTGGTTCTTTAAGATGCTTTTGTGTTTTGAAATGCCACTCATATGATCTTCTAGGTGTGTTGTCTGAAAAGTCTGTAAATCTCGTGACAGATTTATTCGAGTATGTTTATATAGAAACTAGTCTGCTTACCACCCATCTTGCAGGCACTGCCTAGATTTAGAAGGCCCATATATGATGGACAAGAAGTGTGCATTCATTTCCAGTCTAAACTGAATTGCTTGAGATATTGAGTACCAACAAACAAGAAATATCTTTTAACTTTTCTTGAAGCAAACATTAGCCCTATCACACACTATACTTAGTGTATATTAGTGGTCACCTGCAACAAAATAGTCACTTAATGAAGTGGAGTGTACGAACTCCACCAATCCCAAATTTGTACTCCCTTCCTTTCTCCTTCATACCCAACCACAAATCAATTATGGTTCCTGAAATAACTGCACAGAGGCCAGTATCCCATCAAGTCACCCTTTACTTACATGTGAAAAGTCTTTGACACTGGTCCAGCTTCCTCAGAACCAGCTCGCAGAATTGGTGACATTCCTCTTATTATTTATCAGCTAGGGGTCCTTGATTGGATCAGATTAACAGCATTAATTGGGGAACTCCCGATACTGTACGTCACCTGGCTGACCTCCGTACAATCATTACGTCCCACCCCCTCTGAATCTGAGGACACAGACCAGTCCTTTTTCTTGTAGTGTCCTTCTGGAGCATTTTAACATTGGGTTAGGTTTCTCCAACTCTGCATTGGATAGAGGCAGCATGTAACCCACAGGAGGTCGCCTCTTGTGCTTGGCTCGGGAGAAATTTACTCTTCTGGTGGCAAAGGTGTCAATGCAGCAAGATCCACTGTGTTCATCTCAGATTCGGAGGTCACTTCAACATGTGATGGAGAGGGAGAAACCATGGGTTCCAACAGCCCTTCTGAGTATTCTGAGGAGCAGGGCATGTTTTGCTCCCGCACTGTTTGCAAGTTCATGGCTTACATATGGTTCACGTACTCGTTCAGAATCATCGTTCCTACCTGAATTTTATACAACAGTGGTCCTGACCTTGCATAAACCCAGGCTGTTACCCATGCAGGGCCATTTCTGTGGTTCCTGCTCCAAACTTCATCCCTGTCGCAAACTGTCTGTCTCCCTTGGCAGACTCTGGCATCCAATACTGGCATTCCTGATGCCACGCCCCCCCAGCCTGGGAAAATCAACTCTTCTCCCCATTTGCAACTGGACTAGAGCTATTCCTGTAGTTGCATGAGGGACAGTCTTGTAACGAAATAGGAACCCTTGCAGTTTGGTATCTAGTGAAGCTATCGGCTGTCTGTTCAAGGTTGCCTTCAAAGTTTGGACTGCTCTTTCTGCCAGGCTATTGGATGATAGATGGTATGGAGATGTCCTTGCATGTTGAATCCCTTCAATTTCACGAATACTCAAATTCCCTGCTGGTCAATGATGGTCCTTTATCTATGCCCAACGCTTCCAGGAGTCCATGTATCTTAAAAGATGCGCGCAATTTTTCCTATCACTGTTCCAGTGTTTGACAAATGAACTCTATGCATGTCCAACCACTTTGAGTAGGTGTCTAAGACTAAGGACATTGAGCCCATGAAAGGACCTACATAGTCAACGTGTAACTGTGTTCAGGGTTTACCCAGCCATTTCCATGAATTTGGGGGATTTGCTGGTAGTAGTTTTGTCCTTGTTGGCACCCTAGTCAATGACCCACCAACATGGCTATATCTGCATCCAAGCCAGGCCACCAGACGTAACTTGGAGTCATACAGTTGTACACCACAGAAACAGACCCCGTCAGGGAAGTAATTCTGTGAGGTCCACCAGACTGACCTCGTTACAATCACTACTGTTCCCTATTCTAACACCTCCAGTCATGGTCTCTGACCAGCACCATAACCTATGGCATTCTCCTCAGTCCCAATCCCTGATGACATATACCTAAGTACCACTATTCATGAGCAAAGGTTCAAACTTTGACTCGTCTCAATTGAAAAGATCTTTGTATTTCATCAGCAATATTAGAATGAGGCCCAGGAACTCAAAAACCTCAGGCTACAGCATATGGGCACAGGCTGGACATAGTGGCCTCACAGTTGCTTTGTATCCAATTAAGTAATTTATGCCTGCCAACCATACGTATAGATAACAAAAAAAACCTGAGAAAATCATTATATCTTTTTAGCATTTAGCTTTTTAAAAACTAAAGTATAAATGTAAAACGGAATCATTAATTTGCATTATCAATAGGAGCTTAGTGTGACATGCTGTATTCTTTATCATAGATGTTTATAATTGAACTCAACATTTTAGTTTCATTGCTTGAACTGTTTTTATAGATCCTTTACAATGCTCAGATATTTGGCAATATTCAAACTTTGAGTTCAAAAATTGAGTATGAAGTATTAATATGCTCTCATTCTCATAATAGATGCTGCTTGATCTAACTTTCTAACATTTTCTGTTTTTATTATGGATGTTTACTGAAAATAGAATTTGATTGTCCTGTTGTACTAGTACCAAAAAGATTTGAGTCCCTCTCTGACACCTGTAGCAAGTGGAGGCTGGAGCCCCAGTTTTAAGTTATTGTTGACTTATAAAGGAATACTCCCAGTGGTCAGTGTGGGAGGCCTCTCATCAACATATGGGTTGTCAGAGTCTATAGAACCTTCCTGTTGCAAACTACTATCATATCAACTGGCATAAAAAGCAGTTATGACCATTGAAGGAACATTTACAACACAGCTTCTTGTTCTGTTAATCATTCAGCAATTCCTTCCGCTACCAGGGAAGAGAGTGAAGATATGAGAGCAAATACATTTGTACATGAGGAACATTGTATATTCTGTAATTACTTTTGTTAAATGTGATCAGGTAAAGCAGACAATCTGTGGTGACTTGTCTGATCACCACAGCTTTGATGCATTAATGAATATTTGTGAGACTGTAATACTCCTGAGATGCAAAGAACCTGAATATTAACCTTCTATTTGGGATGTTTCTTTCTTTAATAAAAGTAGAAAATTATTGAATTTGAATTGGCAGTTTCACTTCCAGATAAAGTATGATGGTGGTGTGGAAATGGAAGTGCCAGACTAATGGATTGGAGGTCTACTTTTAAAAGGTAGGAGAAACTTCAAAGGAAACTTCAAGGCAAGCCAGATCTGATTTCCAAAATATTATTGTCACACTGTGCAGTTACATCCTTAATATAGCAGTTCAGTTACCCTTTCTGTTGTGTTAGAAGTGAACCTGTCCAGTTTTTCCCAAGAGTGGATTTGGAAGCAGTACTAACATCATTTTTCTCTGATCTAAAAGTAAACTTTTCTAACCTCTGTGGGCTACCAATAAAAATGACCAACAAACCTTACTATGCTACCAATGAACTCAGCATTTCCCAGGTAAGAATAAATTAATACATTTGGCACAATGTAGAACAATGATACTAGGTAATAGATAATAGCATTGGGATAATAATTAAAACTAGATCCAAAAACACTTGCTGTGATATATTTATTGTCATGAAATATGCTAAGCCATCACTTATTGCTAATCCTCAGTTGCCATGGAAAAGATAGTAATGAGCTGCTTCTTGAACCACTGAAGTCTATGGAATATAGTTCATTCTTGGGCATCTTTTTAAAGAAAGAACTTGGCTAATTCCAGGCATTATGCTGAGATACCAATTAGCAGTGCTGACATAGTAGGTCAAATGGCCTCCTTCGGCACTGCAATGGGTCAGTACAGCAAATTTCACTTTTCTCATGTCTCATGTGGATGCATTGATTGAGACACTCCAAACACAGAGCAGATGCTATAAATCTAAAATAGAAACAGAAAATGCTGAAAACACTTAGCAATTCTGGAAACTTCAGTAGCAAAAAATATGTGAGTGTAATTTAGCGGTGGCATGGCCGACACTGCTGCTCACAGCACCAGCGACCTAGGTTTGATTCCAGCCCTGGGTGACTGTATGTGTGGAGTCTACACATTTTTCTCATCTATGCATGGTGCTCTGGTTTCATTCACAGTCCAAAGATATGCAGGTCATGTGGATTGGCCATGCTAAATTGCACCATAGTGTCTTGGGATAAGCAAATTAGCCATGGTAAGTGTAGGTTTACAGGGATAAGATGAGAGGCCTCGTCTGGGTGGGATGCTGTCCAGAGGTTCAGTGAAAACTCAATGGGCCAAATGGCCTCTTTCCAAACTTTAGGGATGATTATAACTTATGGAGCCTCCAGAAGTGTGAATTGTGACATGTATAGTAAATGAATAGGGAAAATGCAAAGTTTAAAGTTTTGGACAGCAGGTTGAAGCCAAAGTATTTTGTAGCTTGGCTAATGAATGTGCCTGGATGCAATGCGTGACCAGCAGGGACATATATTTAATGAGGATGCATGCAGTAACGTGGGTTAGGTCTCTTGAGGTATTGCTAAATTTGCTCTTCGTCATGCAGGACAACGAAACGGAAAAGCATGCAACACTTTAAGGTCACAAACCTGAAACATTAACTCTGTTTCTCCCACCCCAAATACTAACAACATTTTCTGTTTTTATTTAGGGGAAAATGAGAAGTTATCATATAAAGAGGTGATTCTGAATGGTCAAGGCGAACATTTAGCCTGGTCGTTCCAATTTACACTTCCTATGTGTATTTTCTCCTTTTGTAAATGGAAGAGATTGCAGGATGACATTCATGCAAAAAAAGTATTTTATGTTATGGTACATCTGTGAGCTTTAGTGATAATATTATATTGTCTTTATTTGTTTGTAAATTAGACAGTACAAGCAAGACCACCAAATCTGACTACTAAACCTGCCTTTAGAACTGCTTTGAGGCCGGTTCCCACAGTCAAATATGTCATCAACCAAAGCTCTTCAGTTTGTCCAATTAATGGAAGCCAAAAGATTGTCTTGGACAATGAGTGGAAAATTGATTTGAAAACAGGTTTGGAGTCCAGTTCAGCAAATACTGTTATGCAATGTGGAAGCACAATGAGATCAACTGATAAAAGAGGTGTGCTTTCCCAGCACTCTCTACAGTGTGAAAAATCGCAACTTGCTGCATTAGGTACACATGAACAGATGAAAGTACACTCTACTTCATATAATCATAGTTCCAGTGCCTACAAGATTATACCGATATTTAAAAGCAAGCTATTGCAAGATAAGCGGCTCATAGGTGCAAAGAGTAATGAAAATATAAATAAGTGGGATGTCCAATTTAATTCAACACTTCTAACTCTAAAATCATCAACTGCTTACGCAGAAACAAAAAGACCAAACAATATGCAAGGAAAAGGATCCAGGAGTGAAAAAGAAATTATTTTATTAGACATTTCACAGAAGCAGCAATCGATAGCAAATAAAAGAGTGGATAAACCAAGTGCTGAACCAGCTCAGAACACAAGTTCAGGTTCTGAGATAAGTATAAATCAGGGCTCTGGGATTCACAAGTCAAAAATAACAGCAGGAAAAATGAAACCTGAAGCTAGACCATTTCAGTCATTTGGAAAAAATCAAGAACAAAGCAGCATGATTATCCAGACGGGAGCCAAAACCAGAGCTGACATTGTAATTTCTGATGGATCATGCACAGATTGGAATTATAATATGACAGGAAATCATCAACACAAACAAGTGAGATAAGAGATTGTATTTTAAATCTGCATTGAATTTTATTGCCTTCTATACACAAAGGTTGTATTTACATCTTGTAAATTTACAACTAAAATAATTAGATCATTTTATAAATAACAGTTTGGTTATTAAATCTCCTATATGACAATAGGATGCCATTATATTTAAAATAGACTTCTTTTATTGATGTTCCATTAACATTCATTAATGTTTCCTGCCTTTGCATGCAGATATTTTCATATGCAGAGTCCATCTTTCAGTACACAAAAAAAATGTGCATTATACTAATGAAACGATCTTAAAATGGTTGCTAGAATTCTGAGCTGCAGCTACCTAAAGTTAACAGACACTATTCTGTAAAGTAATTAAAATCAAGTAAGGTTGCACTGTGTTTACCTATGGCAGTTAGATTTTTCCACCCATAATGGCAGTCTACATAATTATGACTCTATCTTAACAAAGTATCACATAGGTGCATTGTAGCATGTACTGCTGATATAAAATACAAATCATCTACTTTACTGTGAACACCACCATAGGATATTCAGATCACAAATTGAGTGAACATATTTCATGTCATCTAACTTTGTGTCGAACATTGGGTATTACGCTGGAAGTTGGGATACAGGGAGTCAATTAACTCAGTATCTCCCTTTTCCAAACTTTGAAATGATTTTAAATGAAAATTCTTCATGGTGTGTTACAATTTCCATAAATACTGATAACTTTCTGAAAGAGTAGAATTACCAGAATGACCAACAGAAAGGATTGAAGGACAAGATTTCACTTTTTAATGCTTTCACCGTAGAAGATAAAAACTAAAATCAACATAGATTAAATATTAATGATCCGACACCTAATGCATCAAGCTAAAAATAGGTATGTTTTGCATTCGCTAACTAAATGTTCTTACAAAGCATCTTTACTCAGCTTATGGTAGCATTAAAAAGAACTGTCCCAAAGTTGTAAACAGTTCTCTAGCAGAGATTGCCTCTTCCCCAGCCAACCCTAATCAAAACTTTTAATGTCCTTTGATAATCTATGCACTCCCATATAAGATTCCCCCATTTGGTTCGTACTGGCGAGGTCCACCGCACAAATTCCCTTTCCTTCAGGTCACAATAGTCCTGAGGATCCAGAAATTCCTATATTCGTGCTCTTCAGATAATTTTGCCACTTTTGATAAAACTGTTTCCTCCTAGAGAGCTTTTCTTGTACTTAACACCATTTCATGTGGAACAATGAAGACTTGTTCCTGCAGGGAGTTCAGTTATCTGCATTTCGATAGCAGCTTTCTTTTACTCTGTGCGATACTGTGAAAGGTGTTAAAGCTGTCACTTGACACTTCAGTGAGTTTATATTTGAGTTACTCCTCCTATGGCAACCGAATCACATCAACATTTTTCCAAACTGGTGTTTATAGGAATTCACCTTCCTTATTTTCAAGAATGTTCTGTTTTACTTAAAATAAAGGGAATATTTGAAACGTAATCATCTCGCAAAGTTCTGAATTCATGACAGTTACTCAGAATAAATGAGAATTAACACATACTTGAACAATAGTATGAAAATGTAGTAGTACTATAAAAGAAACCTGATCTCCACATAATTATGCCCTAGTTGAATCAATTAGCATAATGTTACTTGTGTGGCCCTTCTCTCAGCTGCATCCATCTCTAGGCATCTCTTTACATAAGCAGATTCAGAACCTCATCTAACTTAATCCGTACTATCAGGTGAATGGACCAAAAGCAAATGTTATCAAAAATCATTTGTCTCACCAAGGTTTCCAAACCATTGGTTTCTCCCAACACCTATCAAGTTGTAAACATTTCAGGGGTAGCATCAGGACAAATGGCAGCCTTAATGTAAGTTATCTAATTCTAATCTCCTGTGCGACTGAGACTTGTTCTATTGAATTATTCCCACAACAAATGTTGTTTACCCCTCACATTGCAAGATTTTTGGAGATATCTTTGTTTTGCTTCTTAAACCTTTCAGATTATTTTAGCGATTGAAGGCCCAAACCTTGATTCTCATCTTGTCACCCATCAACGACTCTTACCCAAACCGTAATGACAACAAAACCAAGTGAAGAAAACGGTAAAGTGCAAATTTCTGCCTAACTGTGTTAAATCAATGTTATTACAACTTTGTAGCTTTCCCTTGAGACTTTTCCCTGCCTAGTTGATGCTGTACTGCAAAGTGGAAAAAAAAATCTTTTTTTTTAACAAAACTTTCAGCTCACTGAGAAATGATAATGCCAATCCATATCCAACAACCTGCTCTGAAAACCTTGATAGCTGCATCAAATTACATGATAGCACCTGAACAACTAACACAAGAAGCTAAATCAAACATACCACAACATTCCAAAAGAAAAGGAATTCACACTAACTCAAAATATTAATGTGGCATGGTGGCTCAGTGTTAAGCACTGCTGGCTCACAGCGCCAGAAACCTGGGTTCAATTCCACCCTTGGGCGACTGTGTGATGTTTGCACATTCTCCCTGTGTCTGCGTGGGTTTCCTCTGGGTGCTCCAGTTTCCTCCCACAGTACAAAGATGAGCTGGCTATAGATTGGCCATGCTAAATTGCTCGTTGTGTTCAGTGATTTGTAGATTCTAGGTCTGGGTGGGATGCTCAAACGGCCTTATTCCACACTTTAGGGATTCTATCTAATCAAAACAATATCCAAAATCTGGATTTTTATCAAATTTTAAAAACTAATCAGTTCTTCCTTGGACTATATGCTACCTGCTAAGTTTCATCGAGGTCCATCCATTAGCTTTTCAGGCATTATTGTTTGTACATTAACACAGACAAGCACACTACCTCCTCCCACCTTTAGTGCTGGAGATAATGAAAACAGGATATTTATAACAGTAACTACTTAAAAGTGCACGATCATAGGATTTTATTCAGTTTTTGCTAATTAGCAAGAAACTCAAAGTCCATGTTTGCAAGGATTCTAACGATACTTCATTGACACTCTGCCTGTCGTAGGTTTCATATTGATTAATTGCCAATAAATAAGAACTTGGTAGGTGGGGAATATGAATCAACCTTATTAAGCATAAATACAGAAAACACCAAATAAAATGAAACACATGCTTAACCAATCAAATCACTCCTAAAGTTTGTGAATGTGTTAGAACTACCATTGTAGATTTCACCCAAATTTTATGTTTAGAAATGAAAGCAATACTTATTATATAACCAGTGAAAGATATATCATTTTGAAAGAGTGCACTGTGTCTGTGGTCTGTAAATCCATAAAAAAGATTCTCTTGGAAGTTTTCATCTGTCATGTAATCCTGAAACTCTTCATTTTGCTTCATTTGTTAGATAATTCATTATGAACAATTTCACAGACTCTTTTTAACTCCCGGAATTTCTAAAATTAAATAATTTGGTTCCTGCACTATTGCATTATTTGTATTTTGTCTTCCAGGTACTCCAAATGTTTGATTTAAAGGAGCCACTTAAGCAAGAAAAACAGGTGCCTCCGCAACATCTGAACTTAAAATCTTTGACACAAAAGAATTTTTGTGATAAGAAAGCAGCTGAGAAAAGGAAATATGAAGTAAGTTTTCATCATTGTAACAATTACTGTTTGACTTTGTTTTTTTTAAATTAAAACAGATTATGAAGTCTTAAGTATTTAAACTTTGGAACTGACATGTGAGATTTGTGTGTTTTCTGGGAATGAGCTTTAATTGTAAATACACAATAAACTTGATTACAGCTTGCCAGAGAGATGGAATGCAAAATCTGCCCTATTAACAATTCTTAAAAAGAGCTGTTTAAACATAAATTAGTGCACCTGGTCAGAAGCTTACACCTGCCTCTCCAAAGGCTCAAATGAAGTAACTATCAAAAAACAAGATACCTTTACTGCTATCTTCCTTCAGCCCCTTCATCATGATTCAATCTCCCTTCTTATCTCACTGCTGCTTGCCTATCTTGCCTTAATCTTTTCCTCCAAATGAAGTAATTTACCCTGTTCACTGCAGTTAACTCAACCTTGCTATCTTGTGACCGTTCTACTTACATTGAGCCATTCAAAGGTAAGGTTAACTAATTAATTCCTTCTATTGTCTTCTTGCCATATCTTCTTTACCTAAACCAACACCATTTCAGTCTGTATCCGCCCCTGAAAAAAGACTGACCCAAATCACTGCAACAGTGGTTTCAAATTCTCAACAGTCTAGCCAGTGATCCTCCATTCTCCACATATTTCCACAACTGCTGGTTTTCTCAGTCAAACCCTCACCTCCACTAGCTTTGTGGCGTTTGAACCCACAAAAGCTATTTCGCTCATACACCCTCGATGTTCTTCCTGTTATGGCCCACAACTTCACTGTTTAAATCCAGATGATCCATACCTGATAACTAGTATGGATATTTATTGCCAAATCTGGATGGATCATATAAAGCATTACATGGTCCTGCTTTCATGAACTTGCTGGTTACTCCAGGATCATCCTAGATCATCTTCTGATGTTTCTGCCCTCTCTTGCATCCTTGATTCTCTCTGATCTACCATTGGTGGCTGTCCTGTCTGTTGTCAAGGTCCTATACTCTGGAATTCCCTCCCTAAACCTTTTTTGTCTCTATAGATGTCTCTCATCCTTTAAGGTGCTCTTTGAAACTATTCTTCTTGATCAAGCTTTTAGTAATCTTTTCTGATTACTCCTCAAGCGAATTTGGTTGCAATTGCTCAGATGAGGCAGATCGGAGTATTGTACTGTACAGAAAGCACGAGAAGGCTGTTACGTTGTGACTGGACAACAAAACTATATAATCAGGCAATTGGACTTAGTATGAATACTCAAAAGTGTTGCCAGTTGGCTGTGGCTAAGAGCTGTCTATACTTCCATCCACTCCCAAAAGCCCTGGTATATATACCTGTCCTATTTAACTAGCACCTGCTGACAGAGGGCAAAATGTGATTGAGATCTAAAGTCACTGTTAAGGTCAGAAATGTGCAAAATGTCCAGCAGAAGAGAAAAGGACTACAGATGTGAGAATGAGGGGATTTAATTTCCAGGCCTAATATGCATCACTCCTTTCAAATTCAAACTTATTCCACGTGAGAAGCATTGGAAAATCTTGGAACACAGAGGTCATTTGCTAATAGTGAGGTTGGGTTGGGGTTGGGTTTGGGATGGGCAGGGAAATGGTGTCAGTGAGGAATGTAGGTGATATTGCAACATGAGAGTGGAAGCTTTCCTTATGCAGTGATTTTTAAAATGTGGAGCTTATTACCTTGCCAGGTCAGTTCTGGTCTTGATCAGCCTGCCTGCCAGATTAGTTTGGTGGGAAACTGCCTCTGATTTCTCAATCAAACAATCCAGTAAAAAGTGCACTTGGGTGCTGATGTGACGTATATGTTAGAGAAATCCTGCTGATCTAGGGCTACATTGTACAGCACCCAGAGTGAGTTGTTATTGGATGGGGATTTTAAGATTGGGTGCAATGCCATGGTTACTATGCACATGCTGCTAATCCACTCGCCCCCATCAAAACTTTACCAGAGGCACGACAGCTACCTCGAGACTTGTCAATCTGTGAAACATTTGAAACCAAGTGTGCAAATTAATGTCAACTTCAGGCTTCATCCCCTGGCTGATGGAGGCCAGTACTACATTGGAAGCCCAGCAACTTTCACTACTATCCTAGCCCCACTGAAAATACTCCAAACTTTAACTCTGTTCAATTACTCCTCACGGTTGAGGATGGCTGCAATCCCAGCAGTGGACCACTGCTTCTGCTGGTACTGCTGAAACCAGAGAGCTTTTAGCTATCCAGCAGCACATGGAAGCAGGGTCTCCTTTCTGGGTAGGGGTGGTAATCATTTATTAAAGGAATTAACAGCCAGGCAGCAATAACAGGTTCAACCCAAACTTATTCTCTTGAGGGGGCAGAGATCCTATTATACTGTTAAATTCAGTTCCTTCTTTGGAGTCTGGCCATGGAACTTGATAAACTGACAACTTTTTTCTGCAACTCCACTTTAGTGATCCTTGTCGTTTTAAACAGCCCAGTTGCGTGACAGAATCTGAAGAATAGGTTAAAATTGGCCGCGTTGAATCTTCCTTCCTAGTGGAGTGTGTACCATAGTCTCACCTTAATTAAAAAATCAAAAGATTGCTCTGATGAATGAATTTTAGCTGGCTAAAAGATCTCACAGAAGAGTTTTTAATCCAATAGCATGCATTATCACCCAATTTCCCAACTATCATAATGCTAGCAGAAAGTTTCTGCTCATCAAAAAGATTATCCTCATGTAATGTGGACTGAGTTATGGACAGATAGAGGTGATGGTAATAATTTCATTCCTTCTCCATACCTCTGTTGTTTGCAACAAGATGTCTTTTCAAAGGAGCATTTTAAATCTTTTGAGTGTTGTCATTTCTAGTAATAAACATGAACACGCTTTTGGATAAGGTTATATCATGAAAAGACAATGTTTAATCACACAACACTGTAATTTTGTTTTCTTTATTCATTCATGGGACAAGGGCGTCGCTGGCTAGGCAGCATTTACTGTCCATCCCTAATTGCCCAGAGGGCACTTAAGAGTCAGTCACATTGCTGTGGGTCTGGAGTCACATGTAAGGATGGCAGCTTCTTTCCCTAAAGAGCATTAGTGAACCAGATGGGTTTTTCCGACAGTCAGCAATGGATTCACGGTCATCATTAAATTGTTAATTCCAGATATTTATTGAATTCAAATTCCACCACCTGCCATGGCAGGATTCAAACCCAGGTGCCCAGAACATTATCTGGGTCTCTGGATTACCAGTCCAGCGATAATACCACTGGGCCATCGCCTCCCTACATGTGAAGGTATTCGCTCCGTCACCCACATAGGAAAAGTAGATTTTAGAAATTAAAGTATAATTTCAGTTATTCACAGAAAATAAATAATTTGTTCAAATTACAGTTCTTTAACATGCATGAGCCACAGTTCAAGGTGGGTCCTCTCTCGTGGTCCTTTGAGCATAAAAGCTTAAGAAATAGGAGCAGGAGTAGGCCATCTGGCTCAGTAAGATTGTGACTGATCTTTTCATGGACTTGGCTCCACTTACCCACCTGCTCACCATAACCCCTAATTCCTTTACTGTTCAAAAATCTATCTATCTTTGCCATAAAAACATTCACCAAGGTAGCTTCAATTGCTACAATTGGTTTTCAAACTAAGCAGTTAATCTCCCACTGGTCTTGGGGCAATAAGATTAGTTAGCTATTGTCTATTGTGGTTATGTGATCAGTACTTCTGAGTACCCAGGATGGTTTGAAATTGGAAGCCACTCCTATACAATGGTGAATGGATTCTGGCCATTTACACCTACTTATGATTTCCCCACTACAACCCCACCGACTCCCATAGTTACCTGGACCATACATCTTCACACACTGCTTCCTGTAAGAACTCCATTCCATTCTCTAGATTCTCTGTCACATCTGTTCTGATGATGCCATCTTCAGCAGCGGGTGGGAGTTTGGCACTCAGAAATGTGCATCTTTTTTCTCAGCTGAGGATTCCCCATGCTGTTGTTGACAGAGCCCTTAGCAATGTCTGACTTCTGCCATCACCCTTTTATTGCCATGGGAGGGGAGAAATAGGGCCCCCCGTCCTCACTTTCCATCCCACGAGCATCCACATCCAACGGTTCGTAAGCCACCATTTTTGCCACCTCCAATGAAATGCCACCACCAGATACATACTCCTCTCCCTTCCTTTATCACCATTTATCAGGGACCGTTCCCTGTGGAGCGCAATTCCTTCCAATTCCAACATGTCCCCACAACTCCATGACACTTTCCCATGCAATCACAGAAGGTACAACACTTGCTTATTTACCTGCACTTCATTCAATCTAGTCTACTGTATTCAGTGCACACAATCTTCTCTACATTCGTTGGGGGAGGGGAATGAAATGTGACTGGGTGATCGATTTGCAGAGCACCTACGTTCTGTCTGCAAAAATGACTGAGTTTCTGGTTGCCTGCCATTTCAAGACACCACTGTGTCTTGGTCAATATTACTGTCTCGGGCTTGCTGCAGTGCTTCATTTAAGATAGAGTTGAGGAGGAATTTTTTCTTTCACAGTGTCATTGCTGCTTGGTATTCTCTCCCTAACCTATATTCAAGGCTGAGTGAAAGATGTAGGGTGCATACAGGAAAGTGGAGTCAAGGGCCACATGAGATCAGCTGTAATTTTATCAACTTACCCAGCAATATCGAGGGGCCAATAGCCTACTCCTGCTTCAATTTCTTTTGACAATATGTTGTTAATTGACTGAAGCATCACCCTGGGTAATCTAAAAGTTTGTATTATTTCTAGTTCAAAATATAGTTTGTTGGTTGACCTTTAATCTCGGTGGGAGATGTTTGAATATTTTTGAATTCTATTTCGTGGTTTCTCAATCACAGGAGAAAGGAACAGATTCGCCTCCAAAGAAACCAAAATCCAAACCAGTTATCCAGGATGTTGATATGGCAGTGCATGTGAAATATAATCAGGTATCTAAGAAATATTTAATACCTTAAAAGTTATCCTCAATTAATCTCATACAAAAGTATTTTGTTATCCACAGAGGATATTTATCAGTGCACAGTCATTCTAGATGTCACTCAGGGAAACAAAGCTGAGACATTTAATTGGTCACTACAGGCCATCATGACAAAAATGAAACAAGGATATGGGTGTGTTTCGTGGAACCCTCATCCCTTGAACTATTGGATAGGTTAGTAAGGTAAAGCCATTGTAGTCCTACCAGACCATAGGGCTGCTCTCTCATTAGTAGTTTAACCTGAGGGTCACCATGTCTCAAAGGGAGAGTTGAGAAAGAGAGTCCTTCATGGTCACTTCAGCCAGTGCAGGAATTGTACCCACTCTGTTGGTGTTATATTGCAAACCAGTTGTTCAGCTCACTGAGCTAACTGACACTCACTTGAAAATTATTTTCAACACAATTTCACTTCCCAGGAAAATTCAGGCCAATGTATTTATCATTTGTTGTTCCTGCTTGCCAGGGAATTTGGGCCTGAATTTTGAAGCACATTTCAGAGAACACTATAATAGACCAGTTTCTGTTCAGTATGATGTGCCAACTAGGCCAAAAGCCACAATCTGCTGCTGTGTGCAAAAGAATAAAATGAGAATTGAGAATGATAACAAACAATCCAGACTGGTGTGCAGAAGTTGAAAGACTGAAATATCCAAAGTAAACAAAAATTGGTACGTGTCAGGATCAACAAAGTCTGCAAAAATCCATCTCCAAATTTAAAATGTGACAATTTTTTAAGGACAACCTTTTAATAAAACCAGTAGATATTACAGAAAGGGAAACAGAGCAGAGTCACATTAGTTTACATAATAATGACTTCATTTGCAAGTGAATTGATAATTATTTACACCTTGACTTCCAATGTCGTGAGCTGAATTGCATTGTATTGTTTATTCCTGCGTTACTACATGAGTGATTTTGTCAAAAATAATTGTGTAGCAGGTTTTTGGAATGGACAACACAAAACTTGTTCAGGTGACTTCATTTTCTACACCAGATCTCCTCCTACCATAGGCTGCTGTCCATGTGATCTGATTGGACATGAGCCTTGCAATAATGACACCCAAATTGATACTATCCTTCTTAACATATGGCTGTCTGACAGTTTGCTATGTAAAATTGACTGCCCCATTTTCCACATCACAAAAGTGTAACTACACTCATATGGTACATCGGGGCTGCTCCGGGGTGCTCTTTAATTTGAGAAAGACACAATGTAAATACAAGACCTTCTTGCTTTCATGGGATGTTGTCATTACTGGCAAGGACAGCATTTCTTGCATATCTTTAAGAGTCGTTGAGAAGGTGGTGTTGATCAACTTTCTTGACTTGCTAGTGTTTATCTTATGTCAGTACACATGCTGTGTTATTAGGTAGGGATTTGCAGTATTTTGATCCAGTGATGATGAAGGAATGGCAATATATTTTCAAGGTAGTAATCCTTCTGTTGAAACCCACCGGAGGAAGCAATGAGGTTGGCCAGGGCACAGCATGTACTTTGAGTGCAAGGATCCCAATGCTCATCACCAAGAATATCACCATTACTACTGACTGAGTTAGCCAAGTCCTAAAGGACATAGCTGCTAGACTATCTGTTTAGCAAGGGATGAGGGAACAAATAAGAAGGAAAAATCTACTTAATCTCATCCTCACTGATTTTGGTAGGAATGATCACTGCACAGTCATTTTGGAGATGAAGCCCATTTTCATATTGAGGATATCATTTATCATGCCATGTGGCAGTACAACTATGCTAAATAGGACAGACCTTGAACAGATTTAGCAACTCAAAACCGAACATCCATGAGGCACAATAGGTCATCATCAGAAGCAGAATTATTTCCAACTACTCTGTAACCTCATGGCCTGGTAAATTCCATATTCTTACCATTACCATCGAGCAGGGAAATCAAGTCTTGTTCAATGAAGAGTGCAGGAGTGCATGCCAGGAGCAGCACCAGATGTACCTAAAACTGAGGTGTCAACCTGTTTAATTTACTACACAGGACTACTTGCATGACCGCCAATAAAGCAGGATGCAACAGACAGATTTAAACAGTCCCACAATTAATGAATCAGATCTAAGCTCCAGGGAAAAAAGCTGCAGCCTATGTCCAGTCATGAATAAAGCTGCTTAAAAACAATTAGCTGGATGTGAGGCTTCTCAAATATCACCAGATTCAACAATGAAGGAGCCCACCACATCAAGGCAAAAGACAAGGCTGTAGATTTTTCAATAATCTTTTAACATCCCCAGCATCACAGACACCAGTCTTTAGACAATTGATTCACTCCACATGATTGTGATACTGCTGAACAGAGTGGATACTGCAAAGGCTGTAGGCCCTGATAACTTTGGGAATAGTACTGAAGGTGTTGCTTTTTGCTAAGGCAAACCAGGGCAGGACTTATCCACTTAATAGTAGGGCCCTGGGGAGTGTTGCTGAAGAAAGAGACCTCTGCTGCAGGTACATAGTTCCTTGAAAGTGGACAGAGTGGTGAACAAGGTGTTTGGCACGCTTGTCTTTATTGGTCAGTACATTAATTACAGGAATTGGGGCATCATGTTGTGGCTGTAAAGGATGTTGGTGAGGCCACTTTATTAATTTATGTTCAGTTCTGGTCTCCCTGCTATAGGAAAGAACTTGTGAAACTTATAAATCTTTTCTGAACTTTTTCAAGGATGTTCCTGGGATTAGAAGGTTTGAGCTACCCGGAGAAGCCGAGTAGGCTGGGTTTTTTTTTCCCTTAAGCATCAGAACTCGAGAGATGACCTTAAAGAGGTTTATAAAATCATGAGCGGCATGGATAGGGCGAATAACCAAGGTCTTTTTCCTAGGGGGAGTCCAAAATTGAAGGGCATAGGTTTAAGGTGAGAGGGGAGAGATTTAAAAGGGACTTGAGGGGCAACTCTTTCATGCAGAGGATAGTGTGTGTATATAATGAGCTGCCATAGGAAGTGCTGGAGGCGCGTGCAATTACAGCATTGAAAAGGCATCTGAGTGAGTACATGAATAGGAAGTGTTTAGAGGGATATGGGTCAAATACTAACAAACGGGACTAGATCAGTTTTGGATATCTGGTTGGTGCGGACAAGTTAGACTAAAGGGTCTGTTTCTGTGCTGTATCTCTATGATTCTATAGATAAGGGGAGCTTTGAGAACGTAATATTTGCAAGTACAACCATAATTAGCCAGCACTGAATATTCTGATTCGAGGTAGCTTTGGTTACATGTAAAGTGTCATTGAAAGGCAAGTCCATCAAAAAGGTTCACAGTCCTCCAATGGCATCCTGGTAACTTCATGAACCAAGATGAAAAAGTATTTTTTGAAGGCTGTCTGCAACATTTCACTGAGTGTTATTGTCTTGTCTTAATGGATAAGAAATTTGGGAACTGGGAAATGCAGCGGTAGACAGCCCTGCAATCTCCCCAGCATCCAGTGCTGTCACCCTGTGTCACGTTCTGCCAAACGTGTCAAATATACCTGAAAACATTTAGGGAAGCAATTATTCTCCTGCCTTCATTAAAAAACCTAGATTGATAACTCCATACAGCATACTTCAGTATACCTATCCTTTGATATCAGTCTGAAAATGTAGAGTCTTGGAGCCCCCTTCACAGTATTTTTAATACTTTCATATTGCAGAATTGTTCAAATATCGTACATTGAATTGTTCTCAGATTCTTCATCACAGTCAGGTGTACTTTATGTTTAGCTATCCCCTTTTCCTAACTGGCATCTTGCTTCTCAACAGCATTACTCAAATACACAAACCTCTGTCTTGTGTGACACTCTCAACCCAAATCCTTGCTACTACTGAGTACTCCTTTCCACCTTTGCACTAATGCATCCTTCATTTACTTTAGTCATCATTGAAACCTTGCTTCTATTACCTCCATTTTATTTTCCTTGCTTTCCTCCTGAAATCAACCATTTATAAACTGCAATTTGTCCAAAGCTTGCACCATGTTCTGCATTGCTTCCAACTCTTTTATCACCTGTCCTTGTCACTCTCTTAGTGCATCCAATTCAAGATTCTTGTCCCCGTCTATATGTCACTCTGTAGTTTTGTTTCTTCTCATACCTACAACCTTTTGAAACCCAAGTACCAGAACATATTCTAAATTCTTGCGACTTTTTCTTCATATACGACCTCTCATTTGATCACAAACCTTTGCACTCAAACCTGCACCTAAACCCCTTTGTTACACCTTTCTGCCCAGTCAGAAATTCTGGATTTAATCCAAGTTGAGTACATGATCTTAGTTGAAAGTTCAGTCCAGCACTGAGGGAGTATTGCAGTGTCGAGGGTGCCTCCTTGAAAATGAAACATTAAACTGAAGACCCCTTGGATTTTTCAGGTGGCTTTGTTAGATCTTGTACACTTTCAGAAAATAACGAGTGACCTCCTGGCCAACATTTCTCCCTCAATCAGCAATGCTAACATATACTAGACTAAATTAAATGGAGGACATTGTGGTTTCACTTGGGCCAACTTACCTATTCCAGTTGTTTTAAATTTCTGGAATATAGGGCAGTGGACCTTCAATGAAGTATCGATGAAGATACTGGAAAATGAATAATGGCCTTTTACTTTGTTTCCTCAGGGTTTCTGCGAGCATTGCAGATTAGGAGAATTCTAGTTTGAATCTGCTGTTACTCATCTATAGATGATAGTTAACAGTGATCTATTCAGATATATCAGTACAGCAGAATGCTGTTTCAAACAAGCTGTCTTGCAATATATCGGTGAAGCATACAGGGAGGGAATGAGTTATTATTGGTGAATAAAATTGAGGAAGAACGTTGTGCTTATGCTACTGAACCAAAATAAAATGCAGTTTACAGTCTGGGTAAATAGTCCTGAAATCTTCCTTTTTTTTACAGCTGTCCAAATTGAACAGTGTTACTCTTCAATCTTGGCTGAAAAGTCGTGGTGTTTCTGTGAAAACAAGGGATAAGAAGGAGCACCTGGTTTCCAAAATCATGGAGTTCATCAAAGGATCTACAGAATGATTTTGAGAATATCCATCTAGATCAATTGAGTAGAAAAGAGATATTCCAAATATTTTCAGTTGTCTGTTCTTTGTGTAACTCCTAGTGCCTGGAAGGTTTAGCATAGTTTCTGTTTTGATTAATATTTTGATTTATATTCTAATACCATCTATATTCAAAAGTTGGTTTGTTCAGTAATAGTGTTAATTCACATTATCCAACAGTAATGATAATAATTGCTGTCAAAAAATTAATCAGTCATTACTGCACTCTTTTAATTAGCTTCAGCAGCTATTGTGTGATTCAAAATAATCTCTAATTTGCACTACTATGTTGTGTTTTTAATGAAAGAGCACATCCATTTATCATTGTCTTAGATGTGACATCTGTAATTAACAGTTATAAATGTAGTCTGATCTACTTTTCTGAAACATTTTAAAATAAATTAAACAATTATTTAAGTGACTGTTCATTTAATGCCCAGTGGGATTAATGTTTCCAGAAATGAAACCAAATTTACATCGGCAACTTTGTAACAGCAACTCATTTAACACATGGGGATTCTATTTCTGCTGGGTGAAAAGTATGCTGCAACAGGCTGGTCAGTTGTTCTACACTCACTATGATTTTCCCTATGGTGAGTTCCTTCAAGGGGAGTTGATCTTTCGAGAATCATTTTCCCTGGCTTAAAAATTTAAACTCAATCCCATAGTTTGAATAATTCCCTGATTGAAGTTATCTACTGAGTAGCTAAGCCCTCCAAGCATGAAGCATACACCCAATTTGTGAGGAGTTGGCTGATCTCAATTTAGACAATGGTCAACTATGGCACCTCAGATCCGGCATGCAACATCATCCAAAACTGCTGCTCCTGCATGCCGTCCAAATGCTCCTTTAGGAAGTGAGAACCACGAATGTTACGTGTGATGCTTTTTGAGAGCAAGGAATTTGACAACAGCAAATATCAAACTTTCACACAGGCACATCAATAATGGCACAAAAGCAGCCCAACACTAATATCTAACATTTAAAGTGGAACTTTTTTTTTTCTCAGATACTCCTTTATCTAAGTAGCTAGTAATTCTCAATGGCTAATACTAGGTAGTGAAGCAAAAGCTGATACAGTCGGTTCTACTTATAACACAATAGTTGCGTTCTTGTGCCCAATGAGAAAAGTGGGGTTAGGGGCAGACCACCAAAAGAAAAATTACTCAAAAGCCTGACACGAAGGATAGCACAATTTGCATAAATATTTAATTCATGTCTAAAAATGAAATAAAAGTAAATTTAACACTACCTTGAAAAAAATGTCAAGATAACTTGATGGTGGAGGAGGTTGTACTGTACCTCTCACAGAAAGCACTTCACGACAAAGTCCTCTAAATGATCACGTGATGCCGGTGCGGAGACACGGTGCTAACATTGCATGCATTCACAACAAAGCCCGTGAAATGATCATGTGATGTCACGCTTACTCCTCTACGCACTGATGGAATTGCAGTATAGCCAACATAAGTTCGCATTTTAGAAATAGCGTTCCCCTATTCGTCAATCACATTACAGCCAATTCACGTTGACAGAACACGTGTTATAGCAGAACCGACTGTAGTCACCTTTAGATTACAAAATAAGTATTCAGTCAAAACGTGATAGACTTTGATATTTGCTACCATCTTGGATAAAGTCAGGGCTTTTGGCATATTAATGTTGCATAGAGACTACAGCTTCAAGTATACTGCTGATCATTTCAAATTGAGTGACAGCAAATTGGCAGCCCATTCTACAACACTTATCATCTTCAATTCCATTCAAGTCACTGCAAAGTAAATTGAGCTGCCAATTCATTTTCACTTGTAAACTATTGCACAAAGTCAATATCCACTGCTCAGAATCCCTTGCTAGCCTAATTAATTGTACCTGAAAGATTTTTGTTTATATACTGTGTATGATTCCACCATAAGACAAGAACAGAATGCCATCCTCATGCTATTTGGCCCATTGAGTCTGGTCCGCCATTTGATCATGGCTAATAGTTTCTTGAACCCATTCTCTTGTCTTCTCCCAGTAAAACTTGATCCCATTACTAATAAAGAACCTAACTATCTCTGTCTTAAATGCATTCAATGACTTGACCTCCACAGACCTCTGCAACAATGAGTTCCACATATTAACCATTCTCTGAACAAATTCCTCTTTATCTCAGTTCTATAGGGTCGTCTCTTAATTCTGAGACTGTGCCCTCAGGTTTCTCCCACTATTGGAAACATCTCCATGTCAACTGTATCCAGACCTTTCAATATTCTATAAATTTCAATGAGCCCCTCCCTCATCCTTCTAAACTCCATCGAGTACAGACTCAGAGTCCTCAACAACTCCTCATAATGACAAGCCCTTCATCACGAGACTCATCCTTGTAAACCTCCTGTGGATTCCATCCAACGCCAGCTCATGCTTTCTTGGATACAAGGCCCAAAACTGTTCACAATATTGCAAATGCATGTCTGCTGCCGCAATCATTTTAAGAGGACTAGAATACTAACATTACATTTGCCTTCCTAACTGCCAACTCAACCTGCATGTTAATCTTAACAGAATCCTTAACTAGGACTCCTAAGTTCCTTTGTGCTTCAGATTTCTGAAGCCTTACCCCAAACTCTTCCCTTCCTACTACCAAAATGCATACCCTCACATTTTCCCACATTGTGTTCCATCTACCATTTCTTTAACCACCCTTCTAGCCTATTCAAGTCCTTCTGCAGCCTTCCTGCTTCATCACTACTACTTGTCCCTCTATCTATCATTGTGTCATCTAAAAAACAATACCCTTAGTTCCTTCATCAAGATCAATAATGTATGACATGTGTCATGATGGTCCCAACATGGACCCTTGTGGAACTTGACAAATCACTGGTGCCATCCTGAAAAAGACCCCTTTATCCTTACTCCCTGCCTTCTGCCAGTAATCCAATTCTCTATCCAATGCCAGTATCTCACCCCTAATACTTTGAGCTCTTAGCTTATTTAGCAGTCTCCTGTGCAGCAGAGGCACACTATGAAAAATTTAAAGATGTTGAATAGCTTTGAGATTTATAAGTGGTGGCAAGGAGTTATATAAAACCTGTGTGAAGAGTGAATGAAAATGAATGTAATTTTACTTGTATTTTGTTACTTGTATCATATTTATATTGTAATGAATCATAGTTGGAAATGACATTTCATTTTCCCGAGGGTGGAGGCATATTAGAAGCACATATATCATGAGAATTGGAAAATTGAACTGTTTGGATATTACTGAGTTGGTTAATGAGAGATTTATTGTGATTTTTCCGGAAAACGTTGAGTCAAGGAGAACTGCAAATTATTCCATGCCTACTGAGAAAGAAAATTGTTTTGGAAAAGGGGGCAATGCAAAGCTCACTGCCAAGTTCAAAACTAGGGGGCATAGGTTCAAGGTGAGGGGAAAAATTGGAAAGGATCCGAGGGCAACTATTTCACACAGAGGGTGGTGCATTTATGGAACGGGTTGCCAGAAAAAGTTGTAGATGCAGATACAGTTACAAGATTTAAAAGATATTTGGACAGTTATAGGAATAGGAAAGGTTTAGCGAGGTACAGGCCAAATGCAGGCAAATGATACGAGTTTGGGAAGCCTGGTCATCATGGACGAGTTGGACCGATGAGTCTGTTTCTGTGCTGTATGACTTTATGACCTTGTCAAATGCCTTCTAGAAATCCAAACAGATCATGCCCACTGGCTCTCTTTTGTCTAACTTGCTTGTTACCTCTTCAAAAGATTTCTAACAGATTTGTCAGGCTTAACCTACCCTTGACGGAACCATGTTGACCCAGCCTATTTTACTATACACTTCCAAATACTCTGCAATCTCATCGTTAATAATGGACTCTAAAATTCCTATCAACTACTGAGGTCAAGCTAACCGGCCTATTGTTTCTTGTCTTCTGTCTCCCTCCCTATTTAAACAGGGGAGGTACATTAGCCATTTTCCAGTCCTCTGGGAACTTCCTGACTCCTGAAAGATCACTACCGATGCCTCTGCAATCTCCTCAACTAGCTCCTTCAGAACTCAAGGGTGTGGTCGATCTAGTCTGGTTGATTTATCCACTTTCAGCTTCCACAGCACCTTTTCCTTAATTATGGCTGCTACAGTAACCTCTGCTCCCTGACTTTCTTGAAGTTCTGGTATGCTGCTAGAGTCTTCCATTGTAAAAACTGATGTAAAGTACCTACTCCATTCTTCTGCCATTTCTTTATTCCCCATTAGTACTTATCCAGTCTCACTTTCCAGTGGTCCAATGTCCACTGTTATCTCTCTTTTACATTTTTGATATCTTTAAAACAAAACTCTTGCAATCTCCTTTTATATTACTAGCTAGTTTCTTGTTATATTTCATATTCTCTCCCTTTATTGCTTTTCTTAAGTTATCCTCTGCTGGTTTTTTAAAGGCTTCCCGGTCGTCTGGCTTCCCACTAATCTTCACCACATTGTAGGCTTTTCCTCCGCTTTCATGCTGTCCCGGATTTTCTCTGTCAGCCATGGTTGCCTTGTCTTCCCGGTAATATGTTTCTTTTTCTGCTGTGGCTCCCAAATTACCAACAGAAATTCCTGCCAATGCTACTTCAATATTTTACCCAGTAGGCTTCCAATCAACTCTGGGCAGCTCCTCCCTCATGTCTTTGTAGTTACCTTTACTCGATTGTAACAGTTGTACCTGATTCTAGCTTCTCCCTCTCAAACTACGGGGTGAATCTATCACATTATGGTGATAGAACCTTCTAGAAGTGCCTTAATACCTCTAATCCGCCTCATTATGGATCATCAAATCCAGAATTGTCTGCTCCTTAGTGGACTCTACCAAAAAGAGTTCCAAAAATCCATTTCATAGACATTCCACAAATTCTTTAAGATTCGCTAACAACCTGATTTTCCAGTCCACCTGCATATTGAAGTCACCTGTGACTACTATAACAGTGCCTTTTTTAAGTACCTTTTCTATCTCTTGATTTATTTTCCTCCCCACATCCTGACTACTGCTAGGATGCCCGTACATAATTCACATCAAGGTCTTTTTCCCTTTGCGGTTCCCCAACTCTACCCACTCAGATTCTATGCCTTTTGATTCTATATGACTGCTTGCTACCAATTTAATTTCATTTTGATCTGACATGTATCTTTGGATATTTAGTTCCCAGTCCTGATCCCTTTGCAGCTACAACTCTGTGATACCCACAACATCATACCTGCCAACTTCAATCTGCAGTACAAGCTCATTTACCTTACATAGAACATAGAACATAGAACAGTACAGCACAAGATGGGCCCTTTGGCCCATGATGTTGTGCCAACCTATTATCCTACTAAGATCAAACTACCCTGCATACCCTACATTATACTATCATCCATGTGCCTATCTAAAGAGTCACTTAAAAGTCTCTGAAGTA